CTCTACGACCACCTATGCGAAACATCGATCTATTTCTAACAAAAAATAATAGCACTTTATAAATCCATCCATCCATCACAGCCTATAAAAGTTAATTGCTGAACATAGCCCCCCCCCCCCCTCCGGATTGAATCACAGAGAGGATATTGCTATAGTTGCCACGCGTGGCAGACGGATTGGCACAACCTCAATACTTGGTACAGTTTAGTTACCAATACACGAGTATTTTGACAAACTTAATAATTTCCACAAATACTTAGTTATTATTAATCGCTAACAGTACAGCACAAGCTTTATGTCCAATATTCTCTATGGGGTTCCAATTTACAAGTTTCTACGAATACACCACTATATTTAATATGAACCGTTATCCACCACCATTCAGTCAGTCAATACTTAAATTTACCTGTGGAATGTTAAGTTTCATGCGGTATCAAAGTGCAAATTAAAATTGTATTAAATATATTATGTACATACATACACATATAGGTGTCCATTTAATATAATATATTTATAAATTTAAATACGTACATAAAGTGAAAGATTTGTTTAAAAAGAAATATAAATTGTGTCAATCTTTTTAATAATATTAAATTTAATCTAAAGTATTGTCATAGGAATTTGCCTGTTCAGAAATAGACCTATAATTTTCTGTCTCAGAGACTGTGATTTTAACTTTAATTATATAAATTATTGGGTAAATTCCAGAACGAATTCATTAACTGGTACAAAGAATACGAAACAAAGAAATCTATGATGAATAAATGAAGAGTTACTTCTGTAGTCCTTGTGCCGAAATTTCAAGGGCAACCTAATTAAACAATGTTTTATAATAATGGTTGAGGGTATTAAATGTCAGTTACTTACAAATATCCGTGCGTACTAGTAAAATGAAGGAAATACAAGAAGAGAACTTTGTGAGGCTGAGAAAAGAAGATGTTGGTCATTTGACTACGTTCTATTCTTCTACAGTGGTAGCCAATGCGGTTGAAACTTGGAAAAAGAAATCTGTTACAATACTATCGCCTAAATCTGGTCGTATTTTACGACAAAATAAAACGTCAAATGCTAAGGCTTCAACTGCCTCTTCTAGTTTCTTTACGAGATTATTAAGAGATTTAAAAAATCCTAAAGTCTCGGATTTTGAATACCAACAACCTAAAGTAAGGAAGAACAGCTCTTATAAACCGTTTTGGGCTACGAAGGTTGTCGAAGTGGATTTGAAATCTGAGGCAAATCTCCAAGACGATGTTCTTAAGAAAAACGTCAATGTTCTTGAAAAGAGTAATTCTGTTTATAATAAAGGTGTTGTATTTCAAAAGGAAAATGAAACTTCTCTTAAAGACGTTTTAAATAAGAATGAACAAGTTACGACTGATGTGAAGTTGACTTTGAGAAGATTGACAACTGTGGAGCATAGTCAAGAGTGCAGGCTAAATCCTCCGCCAAGTTATAATGGCAGTAAAATGTATATGCCTACTGGAGAACGGTTATATTGGGTTCGTCTTTAAATAGTTTTTCATTTATTTTATCTTATTTTACCATTTGAAAGCATTTCACGATTCTCACTAAACTTTTATTATTAATTTACCGTCTATATTATATTTCTTTAGTTTGTCAAGAATATGTTTTATGTAATACGTTTTTTTACGACTCAATGTTTTATAATAATAATAATATATGTTTTTATATATTTATGTAATTTTTATGTATTTATTTTATTTTATTGATATTTATGTAAGTTTATCATTTTCATTTACAATTATATATTTATGCAGCCCAACCAGATGAGAAAACTATACAAATACCCCATAATAATAATAATAATAAAATATTTATTCATTGACCAAAAGTAATAAAATATTTAAAAGTTAAACTAATACAAAAATTAAAACATCACCTATCTGCCAGTGTGTATAAATATTGACAAATATTGACATTAATATTTATACGCTACTAACGTCACTCAATTGTTTTGCCTTCCCGGAACCCCTCCATTAACACTTAAACTTTATAGTATGGTATTAAAGTTCAAATTGACTTTTAAGTATTATTACGAATCTTTTGTATGGGAATATAGAAAAGTGTTGTTTTTAGACTTTTTCAGGCAATTTTTTAAAATTTTCTCTCCGTAAGAACCATATTCGTACTTCAAGGAATATTATAAAAAAAGAATTAGCGAAATCGGTTCAGCTGCTCTCGATATTTGCGCTTAGCAACACATTCAGCGATTCATTTTTATATTATAGATAAGTTCAATTTAGCTGTATTATAATATACATAAATAGTTAAATTTTCAAAGATTGCGCCCAACATTTTGTCTCAATCGATAATGAAAATATGCATTTTAATTTGCTATTGTGCTAGTTCTACCACATCATCATCATCATCATTACAGCCTTTCACAAATCCACTGCTGAACATAGGCCTCCCCCAAGGAATGCCACAAAGCACGGTCCTAAGCCACCTGCATCCATCGACTTCCTGCATGTCTTACCAGGTCGTCACTCCATCCTCGCCCGGGGACTTTCCGTTTTTAAGGCGCTGAAGAGCCATTCTAATCTAGCTCAGACTGACGTCCGGGATATCTTCGGAATAGTGTCGTATAAGACTCGCTCTTGGATCGTTACTCACACTTGCGTGTGGCTCCAACGATGACGTGTACAGCTGCCCATAGAACCTCTCAATCTTACTCAAAATCTCAGGTGTCCCGGAAACGATGCTGCCACATTCGTTCTTCAGCTTTGACAGTTGGCTCTTTCTGACAGACAGATCTCTAGCAAAAACTTTGGAGCCTTGGTTCCGCTCGATCGCTTCTTCAATACAAGCTGTATTGAAGTTGCGTAATTCCCGCTGCATGCAATTGGAGATCTGTCTGTTCAGTTGACTGTATGCTGTCAAATCTGTTGAAGAATGTAGCTTCATCTCCCGTCTAACAGCCATGAGATTAAGAGTGTGATCGGAGAGTTTTTGTGTTCTTCTGCGGCGGGTCTTGCAGAACTTAGCTCCGACCGCATGGACAATTTCCACGAGCTTGTCATTCATATCGTCCACTTCATTGCAGTCGTCTAGGCACTGAAAACGGTTTTGTAACTCGAGCTGAAAGGTTTCGGGACTTTGGAACAGAGCACAAGGGGGACGGAGCGTTGACTTCATTAGACGAGACCTCTCCAACTTAACGTTTAGGTTCAGTGTGCCTCTAACCATTCGGTGATCGCTACCAGTTTTCACCCTCGCGATCACGGAGACATCACTGAACAGTTGTCGTCTGGTCGTCATAATAAGTCAATCTCATTTTTTGTCGAACCGTCGGGACTCGACCAGGTCCACTTCCTGTGGGGCCGCTTCTGGAAGAAAGAGTTCATCATAAAGAGTCCCTCTTTCTCCATGAAGTCGGCCAGCTGCTGGCCCTTTGGGTTCCTTTGTCCTATTCCAAATTTCCCTACTTTCAGCTCACCGTTCTCTCTTGTGCCTAGTTTTGCATTGAAGTCTCCTATTAACACCGTATAGTGCATTCTGTCTATCACACAATTATTAATAGACGTGCTTTATTTAATAGAATCAGAGATAGTCATACTAAATAGTAGTACTATTATGGAGTTCATTTCAATCGAGATTAGGTACCACTCGACTAGTTACTCTCTGGCTTAAAATCGCTATATAATAACTATTTGTCCAAAAAGGACACCGACGTAGAATTATTGGAAAAGTGCCGTGTTAATTTATTTAATACTAGCTGTTCCCCGCGACTTCGTCGGCGGATAATTTAGGGTTTTAATTCGTCGCTAACGCCGCAAAGGGGCGAACCTCAATTTTTGTTTTCTTGCTCTCCTGTAATTTTTTGGGAGTTCGCCCCTTTGCGACGTCAACGACGAATTATGTTGCGCGGAACCCTAATTCTTTTTTTTAAATGTAAGTAGCCTAAGTTACTCCTTATAACATCAGCTATCTGCCAGTAAAAGTCCCGTCGAAATCGGTCCAGCCGTTTCGGAGATTAGCTGAAACAAAAGTCAAAAAAATCAAAAATTGTGCTTTTGTTATAAGTACCGTGTATACTTTCATATGCATTTAGTAAAAAGCTGTTATTTCGACATTACAAACAGACACTTCAATTTTATTTATTTGTATAGATTTTTTACTTTCATGGAATAGATTTATATATATATATAAATATATCCTTTCGTAATGTTGTATTCACATAATTACATTGTAACGGAAGTGGATATTGTATTATGCCTAAACGTGGTAAAACCATGCTGCAGCTATATTATGGATCGTAGACATTTCAGAATGCTGTGCACATTATTTTCAGTTTTACACGATCCGTTTGTCCCTGAATATCTGAAATGCAAATTTCAGTATCAGGGTGATACCCATAATCGATGTCTCCTTTCTACAGAAAAATTTTACCTCCATGTTCCCCTCTGTCTGTCACACTACTTTGTTACTCAAATCTTTTACTCCTCATGCGGTAAGATTATGGAAATGTATGAGTTGGCTTGACCGGGGTAGGACCACGCTCTCACAGAATACTGGCATAAAATAGCAGCTTAATGATACTGTGTTTCGTATGGTGAGTGTAAAGAACCGGAGAATCTTTTTACTGGAAACGAGACATTCAATCTTAGTCCTCGCGGGAGACAACGCATCTGCATTTTGATTCGTAATCGAAGATGTAGATGTCTATGGGCCATAGCAACTAAATACCATCAGGTGCACTATGTGCTTGTTTGTCATCCTTATCCTATAAAATAAACCAAACTGTCACCATAACCACCACCCTTATTCTAAATAAATACATCTCTTCTGTAAAAGTTTAACCCAAACCTTTGTGATCCTTGTGGTTATGATAAGTGAGTGCTACTCTCCTAGCACGTACACTAGCGGCACTATATTTTTACGTAGTAGACAATTACCTAAAGTTGCCGCTTTGGTAAAACGTTCGCTTCGTGAGCAATCAACTGGCATATAATTAATATAATAACTTTATTTTTCCACAGCTCGGCGAAACGCGCCCGTCATCTTTCGGCCCGGCCACTTATCAAGACTTCAAGGAAATACGATCAAGATGCCTAGCTGAAGGCAGACTGTTCGAGGATCCAGAGTTCCCTCCAATAGACCGTAGTCTTTACTATAAGGAGAGATTGGATCGACCTATCACTTGGCTCAGACCTGGAGTAAGTTTTACTTTCTAAATAGTTATAACATTCCAAAAGGTTAGTTGCGAAATGAGAAATACCAGAGAATTCTTATGGCTTCCGTAAGACAGCGGTTTAGTAAATACTCACACTCTCGCAGAATACCAGCGTAAAATAGCGGCTTAACGCTGCTGTGTCGTATGGTGAGTGTAGAGAACTGGAGGTCCTTTTTACTGGAAAAGAGTTATTCCATCTTAGTTCTCACGGCTGACAACGCATCTGCATTTTGATTCGCAAACGTGGATAGATGTAGATGTCTATGGGCCATAGTAACAACTTACCATCAGGTGGACTGTGTGCTCGCTTGTCACCCTTATCCTATAAAAAAAATACCCATACCCAGAGTACGGGCAGCAGCGTCAAATGTGCAAGACATCTCGTGTCAATCCGTCAGCTAATGACGATTAAGGCAAATTCTCCCTACATCGGGAAGATGCCCATATCCTGCCGTGGACTTTCATGGGCTGATAAAGAAGACAAAGACGATATAATGCCTATGTTCAGCGATGGAATTGTGAGGGCTTGTAATGATGATTTATTTATTTATTACATAACTAGCGAGTCGCCCCGACTTGGCACGGGTGATTTCTGTATCTCGACAACAGCGCCACCTACCGGATTCAATTGTGAATCTAAACCGTCCGGGGTCCCCACTCAGACAAACACAAAAAATTTCATCAAAATCAGTCTAGCCATTTTGGAGTTTTAGCGACACTAACGGACCGCAATTGATTTTTATATATAGAGATTATAACATCATTTATAGTAATTATATTAACCAATTCGATGTTATAACTAACCTATATATAAGAAAACTACTGTGACAATGTGAGTTCACAGGAATACTAGACCACCTAACTTATAAATTAACTAAACTACTACTGCACGGCTAGCATGGGCTGGGGACAAAAAGTTTATCTCCACCGATTATATCCACTGACAAGGGATAAAATTATCGTGTCCTTATGCCAAAGCACGGCAACGGGGGGAAGTATATCCTCGTTTGACATAACGAGTAGACATACATCCCCGTCCGTAGCATGGAGCCAAATAAAAGATAAAAAATTATGCTCTTTTGATATTTAAAAGGGACAATTTTATCCTAGTTCATTGGACGTGGGTTTAATATAAAATTCATACAAAAAATGTACCAAAGTCCAAGTCTATCTCCCATTTTATCTACTGTGGATATTATATCCACCGGTATGCCCATGCTCGAAGGGTGGATAAAACTAAGCGAGGGGATAAACATTTTTTCCTTTCCCCGGCGATAAAATTGTCTCCTGCCCATGCTAGCCCGACTGGACTCTTTTAACAATTAAACCCTGGGTTTTATACTCTGTTGAATATTCTTAAGTCACGTAAGTAAATTGAGTCACGTATTTGAAGACGTGCTGTTATTTACTTAGCAGGCGGTGCTGTAATCAGACTAATAAATAGTGAAACTATCAACTTGACGATAAAATAAAATACAACTTTCAAGGCATTTGTATGCTGCAATTATGAATTTCGTCTGGCTACATGTAAATAAGTCAATATCTTGTGAAATTCAATGATGCAAATAAATGATGATGATGATAATAATTCATAACATGAGCCTTGTTTTCCTTGATTATACATATTTTAGGTTTAGGCAATGAGACAGAAGATGGGCTATAGCATCTACCTGATAATAAATTAGAACAATAAAAAAGAAACTTCGGTTACTAACCCGCCTGCCAAGCATAATGGCAAATATCCTCCCTATCAGTCAACCTATTAGGAGGTCTATGTTCAACAGTGGACATTTAAGTGATCTGAGGAATTGTTCGGACTAATTCCAGCCGCTCAATTTCACCATCGCACATCGCGACAATACTCGCGATACCATCCATATCATCTGGATGATTGGCGGTCCACCACTGTGCGATTTAGAAGATGTTTTCTTCCTCGCACAACTTCCTCGTGAAATCGATTACCACCAGCGATTTTTCCGGACCGATACGAATTAGGGACCTTCAAGAAAAGAGCCTACTCCTTTTTAAAAGGCTGGCAACGCATCTGCAATTCCCCTGGTGTTGCAATACCCCTGGCGGCGGTAGTCACTTACCATCATGTGAGCCGCATGCTCCTTTGCCCCCTCTCCTATAAAATGAATACTAAATTTATATTTAGCAGTATTATAAACTATGTGAAGGGCAGAGTCGGGAAGAGTCGCCCCCAGACGAAAGTTTATAGGCCAAATAGGCGATATATTGAAGTAGGGCCAGATTAAGAGTACCCTTAAACGACGAGCATCTATGCGTAGGTATGTGGATGTAAAGGAGGCGAGAGATGTGTGTTAGGATCGTGCTAAATGGAAGTGCGTAGTCTCTGCTTACCCCTCTGGGTGACAGGCGTGAGTATTAATGATTATGAAATGAACTATAATACTACAGTACATTAGTTTTGCTTGCGAGTGTGATTGCGTGCGCGCTTGCGTGCGTGATTGCGTGCGCGCTTGCGTGCGTGTGAGTAAGTTAAAGTGCACACTTTAACTTACTCACATTATTATACAAATTTAAATATGTGTTTGTTTAGACTGATCGCTAATATTCATATATAACCCTGATTTACAGGAAATATGCGAAGATCCGCAACTCTTCGTGGAAGGGTACAGTCGTTTCGACATACAGCAGGGCGAGTTGGGCGACTGCTGGCTGCTCGCTGCAGTAGCTAATCTCACGTTGCATAGAAAGTAAGTCAAAGTTTTTTTACGTTTTCATCTTCTTAGCACGGCGTGACCACACCCACCACTATACTGTTTTTTTTTTTATAGTATTAGGATGACAAGCGAGCGCACAGTCCATCTGATGGTAAGTGGTTGCTGTGGCCCATGGACATCTACATCTATCCTCGTTTGCTGATCAAAATGCAGATGCGTTGTCAGCCGTGAGGACTAAGATCAAATACCTCTTTTTCAGTACAAGGGTCTCCGGGTCTCTACACTCACCATACGAAACACAGTAGCATTAAGCTGCTATTTTACGCTGGTATTCTGTGAGAGCGTTGTCCTTCCCCGTTCGAGCCGACCAATTCGTGCTACAACTATATTATTGATCTATTCTATTCTATTGATATAGCTGCAGCGCGGCTCTACTATGGATTAATTATCGAAATGCAGATGTGTTGCGTCATCCCTGAAGGCTAGGATGGAATGTATCTTTACTAGTGAAAAGGGTCTTCGATTCTCGTCATTAACAAAAAGTATGGGTAAATAAAATTCAATCATTGGCATAAGTTACCTTTACAAATGTCAGATAACCTGGATACTACGCTTGGTCCTGTGCTTGAATTCCAGTCTAAGCCAAAATTTATGCAAAAACACAAAAATCGTTTGTTTTAAAGATTGGTATTTGTTTAAAACAAACGCCACAAATAGTGACAACTATGGCAAATATCCCTTTCATTCCGTTCAGCGGTAAACTTTTGATAGGCTGAAATGAATGAATGAATGAATATTGTGCACTATAAAAAAATCAGTAAATGTTTACAACTTTAAAGGAGTATGAGCGCTTTTCTAATTTTCATCAAGAAGTCCAGGAAATGTAGCCTAGTATCCAGAATAATGAAATAATTACCATTTAATCCTGTGAAATGTGTGATGAAACAGATTTAATTGTAAGGCGGAGCAACGAACCACATCACACATCCGATAAAATTAAAAAAAAACGTATTATATTATTGATTAACAAATACAAATAAATGAATTACTAACGTCATTTAAAATAATATTTGTTTTTTTTTTTTTTTTATAGGATAAGGGTGACAAACGAGCACACAGTCCACCTGATGGTAAGTGGTTGCTGCGGCCCATAGATATCTACATCTATCCTCTGTTACAAATCAAAATGTAGATGCGTTGTCACCCGTGAGGACTAAGATGGATTGCCTCATTTCCAGTAAAAAGGGCCTCCGGCCACCTGCACTCACCAAGCGAAACGCAGAGATAAACCTCTACTTCACGCTGGTTTTCTGTGAGGTCGTGGTACTACCCCGGTTCGAGCCGGCCCATCCGTGCGACAGCAAAAGCTGGCATTTCATGGCAAGATAAAAGTTCGAGAGACATGCATGTTATTCTCACACTATAGAAGTGGGGTCGTGATAGAAAAATCTTACACTTTTCTCGCCTAGCCCCCATACGTCAAATTCGTACTGTGCCATAAGGAACTTCGTTGCAAAATATATATAGAATTAATTATTGACTTCAAAATCACTTCACGGTTGACTAATCGGGACAGTTTTCCTGTTACATATAAACTGAAATAAACTGCAAGGACGCGAGTTATCAACTGCAGCATTGTTATGCACTATTACGTGTTCGACATTGACTTTCAAGATAAAGAAATATGTTTACCCGTATATGACATACACCGCTATTACAGACTACTCTAATCCAATTTTCAACATAAGCATTAACTGTATGATCGATCGAGATCGAAATTTATTTAGTCGTCACTTGTCATTACCATCGTGGGGCAGTAACTATTTTGCGTAGGTCTCTCTCTTAAATTTTAATTATACGTGGTAGAGCCATGCTGCAGCTATATCAGTAGTATAGATCTAGCACGAATGGGTCGGCTCGACCGGGGAAGGACCACGCTCTCACAGAATACCAGCGTAAAATTGCAGCTTAACGCTGCTGTGTTTCGTAGAGAACCGGAGATCCTTTTACTGGAAACGAAGCATTCTTAGTCCTCACGGGTGACTACGCTTCTGCATTTTGATTCGTAGTTGAGGATAGATGTTGATTTCTATGGGCTACAGCAACTACTTAATCAGGTGGACTGTGTACTCGTTTGTCACCTTTATCCTGTAAAGAAAACTAACTTAGTCCCTATCAGCCGAATTGCGCAGATTTAGGTCAAATACGTAATATTGAAAGTCAAAGATATGATATCCTTTACTACTTTGTTATTTATAAATTGTGTGTTATAGATATGAAAGTGAAAGGAATAATATTTTGGATATACAAAAGGAATAATAGGCAAAACCATAGTATGTTACCAATCGGCACAGGAACCAGGCAAGCAGTTAACCGCACTTCACCAGCAATTAATAATTTGGCGCAATATCATAGGTTTATTCACAGATATAACGTTTTGTACATTCTAACTTTGCCAAAATTTTATACATATTATGTCGAAATATTTTGAAATTTTACAATTTTTTCAAATACTAATAAAGGTGACAAAAGAAGAACTTACTCCGCCCCCTTGTAAATGGATACTGTGGCCCATGAATGAATACATTTATCCGCTTTATGATTAAGAATAAAAAAGAAAGTGTGTTATCACCTATGATAAATGATGATAAATGGAATACCTTCTTATCAGTAAAAAACAGTCCTAAGCCACATGCATCTGTAGTATTTCTGCATTCTGATCAGGTACTCATATTAATTATTTTTTTTTCCACAGATTGTTCTTCCAAGTTGTGCCCGATGATCAAAGCTTCGACGAAGACTACGCCGGTGTCTTTCATTTCCGGTAAATATATTTCTTTTTTTTTCCCATAATTTATACTTGCTATTATTGTCACTTGGTCAAACTTCATCCTCATTTTTGTGATGTGGATACACACTTGTTTCACTAATATTAATAAATTATTATTATAGACAAAACATTTTTGATTCTTAGCTCTTTGGATAGTTTTGACTGCATGTACGGGCCGAAACCAAGTAAATGCAGCGTGTAATGAGTATTTATGTAGATGGGGTGTTATGGGGACCTATTTCATTTTCTTCCAATTGCATGAATATTCTTACAATTGGATAGGTATTTAAAATTGCGGCTTTTTGGAGTATAATGTGTGTTGAGTCTTTCAGGTCTATTAATTTGAGGCTATGGTGGAGATGAGGAGTGATTGGGTATGACACCCGTGTTGGAGACGACTATGGGTACTATTTAAACTTTATTTAGTCTCCAAATTCTGGTCACTTTTTCTTAGAGCTCTGCATATTTGCTTATCTTCTCGCCTATTGTGTTTTGCAAGTTGTGTGTTGGGTATTGCAATATCAATTAGATAGGTGATTTTATTTATTTTATCATGTAATATTAGCGTAATGTAATATTATAATATTATTACATTACGCTAATATTACATATAATAATAATAATTATTATTATTATTTCACTATAATAGACTGAAAGGTCCTGTCGGTAAGTATGGCGCAGTAATAGTAAAGTTTGTGTGTAGGATTTTCTTAAAAACAGTTTGTGGTGTGTATTTGTAGTAGGGTTGTGTTTGTGTATTGTATAAGTTTATGTTTGAGTGCTAGTTTTTGATGTTTGCTACTTGATTGTGTACAGACACAACCACTCACAGGAGTGTAGTCTGTCTGTGTGAAAAATTATTATTATATAAGAGGGACAAAAGAGCATGCGGCTCACCTGATGGTAAGTGACTACCGTCGCCCATAAACAACTACAACACCAGGGGAATCGCAGACGCGGTTATCAATTTATTAACTATAAAACCCGGCCAGTTTCGCCTCACAGCATCATCAGGGTATATAAATTATTTTTATTGCTTATATTGAATCATTTAAATAGTTAATGATCCTTAATAGTGAATGAATGAAATTTGATACTGCGAAATAACACAACAAATGTAGATAAGGCTTGTTGGCTAGATATGTCGGACTCGCACCGACTAAAACCCATGGTGTTCCCCTTCGCCGCATATTGGCAGGGCCACGGGAACGCACCAGCGCTGGCCGCCCCATAGCAGCCCCTCCTCGGGGGAGGACTTCTCCTCCCCATTCTCCTTCTCAGGCAAGGCGCATCAAGAACACAAGACACACTTTCCTCCACGGTCTCAAACTTCACCTTCGTAACTGGCCCCCTCGAGCCCGATACGCGGATATCATGGGGCCAGGAAAATCGAGCGCTCGGTTGCACCCGGTTTCCCCAGCGGCGGATCTGGTCTTTAGCTTCGCCGACAAACAAGTTTCGGCCGCGGAGGGTAGGGAGAGTGGCGTCCCGCAATACCGACACTTCTCTCCCCCCGCGGCCCCACCACCACCGCATCAACGGTGCGGCCCCGTTAGCGTCGCGGCGGATAGGGCGACTGGCGCATTGCCATACCAATACTCTCGGGGGGGAGGAACCTGTTCGAGGGGAATCATCCTCTTACAAGTCGCGGCACGCGACGAGCGCGAGGGGACGCGCACGAATTGAATTGCATGAATGCGACTGGAGAGCCAATCAGCGCTACTTATGCGCAAGAAGCCAATCAATGCGACTTATGCGCAATAACGGTCAACGCTAGACTTTCGTGCCGCTACTTATACTAGTACCGGTATGAAATAACGCTGTAAGGCGTTCCATCTCAGTCCGTAGAAATGTCAACGACCTTCTTTTTTTTGAAGTTAGCAGCAAGTTTCCATGGGCTGCAGTAGCCACTTACCTTCGTCTTGTGAACGTCGTTCGTTGGATACTTCAGTTTTATAAAAATATTAACTAATAAATACTAATATAGTTAACATTTTTGTAACATATATTTTCGGAATGTCGAGAATATTCTGAATTATACCTAGGATTGCCAACTTTTTTTTGAGGAAAAAAACGTGTCTAATCCTTTGAATGAGAAAAAATAAATGTAATGCAAGAAAAAAAGTATTTTTCAAATTTAAGTTTTTATTGCTTTATATACATTTTTTGTGCTTTTAGCACACGTTAACAGGTTTTGGTTATCTTTAAAAGTTTTAAAATTAGTTTTACAATATAAGTTTAGATTTAAATCTAAACTTAAGTTGTTTAAAAAGAATTAATTTTTATTAAATTTATCTTTTATATTTTTTTTAAATGGACGATCAATTTCTCTCTTCTCGCCATTTCACTTTCATCACCGAAATAATTCCTTCAGTGAAAGCTGAGGTAGCGGGAACAGAAAGTAAAAAAGATATTTTTTTTTAATGGCAAGTAACACGCATTTTTAAGTATATATTGCTATTTTTCAGTAGTATTTTTCTCCGAAAATTATTTGTCAATATTAGTAGATTTCCTTTGGACCTCTAAGTATTATTGACTCCGAATATAAATCATCCATCTTAATATTTAACCTGTTGAGTAATTGGACTTTTTTAATTGCTTGTCTACTCCGTTCTGTCGTTACCTTAGGTTTAGGCAAATATCGATAAATGATTCAAAAATTACGCATGTTTTGCGCACCACAGTAAAGATTCGAAATAAAGTTATTTCGCATACTTTATTTTTATACAAAATATACAGTATATTTATCAAAAATAAAGTAGGATACGTAGGTATGGTTGGTAAACCTAATTACACCTTTTATTGGATACCCGGACATGATATTTCAAATTTATTTAATTAATATAGCCAACCAGCGGGGAAGCAGAGCTAACGTTCTTGGCCACCACGTACCACGGGGAGTAGGATTACAATAATTTAAATTTTCAGTTAGTATATATTTATAGTTTTTTAATATTGTATGTATTTCAATGTTTTATTATATGTATGTCCGCAATAAGCTGCCATGTTAAATTTTATGGGACTTCATGTAGCTTAAAACTCGCGAAATGGCACGAAATGGTACAACATTGCTTTTAAAGATATGTAATGTGTCAATAATATGAGACGAGTAGTTCGGATGATTTGAGGGAACAGATGAACATACATAGCCTTCTAAAATTGTAACCATCATAAAAATATTCACTTACATCATCTGCATTCAGAAGACACGAATATACCACAATCGGTATCGATAATTGAGGTTGAGTCAGACAATGCATGGTGCTGCACTATTTGTCACCCACACATGCACATTACACGCACACTGGTGTATTTTGATTTTGGTCTCGCCCTAATCACTCCATCGTCAATCTATCATCACCATTATCATCATCATCATCATTACAGCCCTTCACAAGTCCACTGCTGAACATAGGCCTCCCCCAAGGAATGCCATAAAGCACAGTCCTGAGCCACCTGCATCCATCGACTTCCTGCATGTCTTACCAAGTCGTTACTCCATCTAGTGGGGGGTCGCCCTACACTTCGCCTACCGGTGCGAGGCTGCCACTCGAGAACCTTTTTTCCCCATCGGTTGTCGGTTCTTCGTTAAACTTACTAACTTACAGCTTACTAATCCGCTGGGCTATGTCGGTTACTCTGGTTCTACTGTGGATATCCTTATTCCTAAGTTTATCACGCAAAGAAACCCCCAGCATAGCCCTCTCCATAGCTCGCTGAGCGACCTTGAGCGTCTTCATACTGCCAGCAGTGATCACGTATCAGTTCCATAGGTCATCATTGGCAATACGCTCTGGTTGTTCTATACTATACTAAATCTATGTATATTTTATACCCAAATTCAAATTCGAAAATCGATGTTGATATTCACAATCTCCAAGAATATCATGTAATGACAATGCATAAAGTTGGTTACCTTAATGTATTTATTTTAAATATTATTATTATTCCGTATTTTAGGTTTCTATTGTAAAGATGGTAAAGATATAAAGAATTTGTTATTCCGCAGGTTCTGGCAGTACGGACGCTGGGTGGACGTGGTGATAGACGACCGGCTGCCCACGTACCGCGGCAAGCTGATCTTCCTGCACTCGTCGGAGCGGAACGAGTTCTGGAGCGCACTGCTCGAAAAGGCATACGCAAAGTAAGTGCCAATGATGGCATCCACGACTTGTTTTTTACAGCTATGCTAGAATAAGAAACAAATTCAATTACATCGCAGCGCCACAGATTGACTAAAATATTATGGTGTGAATAAAAAGTATTCCCATACAATTTCTAAAGAAATTACGTTTCGACATGTCGTTTATTTATTTCACTGGTGCCCAATACATAGCTACCATAAAATTGCAGTAAACAGTTAAGTTACCGCCCATAGCTATAAAGTCATAGCCTATATATACGGTCCATAGTTGGGTACGAGCCTGCTCTCATTGTAAGTATGTAGAAATATCTTCGAGCGTTCTAAGCTGTATCTTTAATTACAGATTGCACGGCTCTTACGAGGCGCTAAAAGGCGGTTCGACATGCGAGGCGATGGAGGACTTCACCGGAGGCGTGACGGAAATGTACGAAATGTCAGAACTTCCGCCCAACTTCTACACTATACTGCTGAAGGCGTACGAGAGGAACTCGCTTATGGGATGCAGTATCGAGGTAATAATATAGGAAAATAATGAAAAATTAATTTAAAAAAAATCTCTAACATTCTGTCCTTTTTATCTTTTAAATTCAAGATGAGTGGTAATGCATTATTTTAACTGATTGTTATACATAAACATCTAACGCGTACTATTTTACTATGCTTGCACACATTCGTAAGGGTCGATCGGTCGGCAAAAACATTGTGAATTGAAATCGCACATAGAGGAGCGCGCGTACGCGTAGTTGTTGCCCATAAATCATATACAATTTGGGATAATTTCAAATAAAAGTAGAAGTCTAATTTACTCGTATTTTTAAAAACTGCAATAACGGTATATCATTATTTATATATTTAAATTTAAGTTTAAAATTTGGCTACTATTTGAAAAATAACTTTAAATACATATGTGAAGGGAAAACTGTACTGTAAATGGTTAACTTATATTGTTTAAATTAACATAATTTCCAACTTACCTCTTTCAAATTAATATTTTAGTTAGTCAGTTTTCTTTTGTTTTAACTTATTTTTAATTTTTAAATAGATATTACCGCCCACCGTGTGTTTTAATTTCTTCTGACATGGAGAAGTGGATTTCATTACACGATATTCCCTTATAGTTTGTGTTCTGACAATAATTAAAATTAGATGTTGCTAACTAGCAATATCTAGTGAACGGAAAACTCAACCGAGAGTGAAGTTTTTTGTTACACAATTTCATTTATAATTGAGAAGTTGCGTTTGAAATAAAAACTTATCCGTTTCTAGAGTATTATATAAATACACCAAACAATGCTTCAGTGAGTAACTCCATAATATTATTCACATTATTAAACTTTCTTACTTTATACCTTTAATTTTTTTTTAATTTTCTACTTTTAGAAATATCCGTGGTGTAGTTTATTCATTTCTAATCTATTTAATATAAAGTATGATTAATATTGCAGAAAGAAACATTAACCCTTATATTTTCCCAACAAATTAATTTCCCTATCTTGTAATCTATCAAATATTTCACCTGGCGCTGCTCTAGCGGCAAAAAAAGTGATTAAGTATAGTGTGATGGGTGATAGGGTGATATGACGTGTTGTCGCAGCCGGACCCCAACATCCTGGAGGCGGAGACGCCGGCGGGGCTGATCCGCGGGCACGCGTACTCGGTGACGCGCGTCAAGTACGTGGACATCGAGACGCCCGGCCGCGCCGGCAAGATCCCGCTGCTGCGCCTGCGCAACCCCTGGGGCAACGAGGCCGAGTGGAACGGGCCCTGGAGCGACAAGTCAGCATTGCTTTTAACCTGTTACACCGCCCCCGCCTCCCCGCAATTTATATACATAAAGGGGACAATTTCTTTTTGTACGGTGAATGGACCTACCAATAAATTGTGGCGTAACCTAATGAAATACATGTCGATTTATTCCTTATAATCTATAGATTACAATAGTAATATTAGTTTTACCGTATCTTACGGGAATACTGAGAAATTAACAATTAAAACATGAATAGCAAACTAAAAACGATCGTCTAGTAGTTTTCACCGGTACGGTATTATAAGTTAAATAGTGCACTGGTCAATAATTAATACTATAACACAAAGTTGTAGGTAAATTTCAGCATTTATAGGTACTTTAAGATTGATGAAAAATCCTTTTAGTAGTTCGTTCTTCGTTACACGCATTTTTTTTTTATATTACATTAACCAGAACACAAATATTTAGACTCATAAAATCTTTCGGCCTTATACTATAATAAATTAGTATCTTTTTTTAATGTGTAATAAAATTAAATTATGTTAAAATTTCTAGTGGGCCCAAAAACGATTGTCTGCCTTCACAAGAATAAACATCCATACCCAGAACAATTATATATAGTCCATGCATTTTTTAAATAAAATAAGGAGGATAAACAAGCACACAGAGTTGACCTGAAGATAAATAAATGATGTGGTCCATAAACATCTACATACTGCATTTTGATTCTTAATCGAGAATCGATGTCAATGGGCCATAGCATCCATTTACCATCAGGTGGACTATGTGATCGTTTCTCACCCATATTCTATAAAAGTCGCATCCATTTACAACAACATCCAAATTGATAATGGTAGGAAACATATTTTCTCTAACGCTACTGATATTAACTACTTCATTACACAGATCACCAGAATGGCGTTTCATTCCGGAATCGGAGAAAGAGGAACTCGGCCTGACGTTCGACGACGACGGCGAGTTCTGGATGTCCTTCAAGGACTTCGTCAACCATTTCTCAAGGTGAGCACTGCAACAATACACCATCACACACTCACGCACACATTATGCACTGCGACTACCTCGTTGGTCTAATCGTCCTGAATACAGTTTTTATGTAATAGATATTTAATATTGTCTACCGACTTCAAAACGGAGAAAGTACGCAATTCGACTGTATGTTTTTTATGTGTGTTACTTTATAACTTTATACTGAGTAAATTTATTTCGATGATTCTTTTTTTATTTGAAAGCTGGTGCTTCACATGTGGTCCCATATACATTTTATCAAGGTCTGACCAACAGTTTTTGAGTTATTTTTAATAATTTATTTTGAAGTTGGTTGAACAAAATTTTAAATTATACATATTATGTATACCACTGACTTGCTTTACAGTGTTTCATAATTTATTCACAAATTTTATCAAAAACCGCCATTATTATTGCATTGGACCCTGCATGAGTCCACTACTGAACATAGGCATTCTTATATCTCTAAACAGGAAGTTGAACAATTTCGTTTTTCGGTTGTACAAAATTTTTAATTTTAAATTATTCTTTTTCGTGCAGCTACGAATTTAGCGAAAACTTCATAAAACCTATTCAATGATTATTGACCTATTTAATAATATACTTTTGTAAATTAGAATCAAAAATGTTAAATCCAACGTAGATTATTTAATAAATATAATGCCGTAATTAAATTATTTTAAATTTAGAATGGATTTCCGCAAAGTAACGCCTGATTCTATTAATTAAAAAAAATATAATTTATACATTATTTTTATTAATTTCTATTAAAGCTAAATTGGAATTATATAATGATTAATGTGTAAACGCCGCCTTCACCTTTGGTAAAATATAAATCTGACCGCCACAGGACAGGTCTGGGCCTAGTGTAGAGTCAATAGTTAAATAATAAAGTAAGCCGTAACAATATGATGCTGTGTTTTTTTTTCTTTCTCTATGCATTAAAATTTCTGTAAAATTTTACTATGTATGTGTGCATGCTTTATTAAAATAAGTTTATTTGTATTTTATTTTGTCTTTACAGAGTGGAGATTTGCAACTTGAACCCGGACTCTCTGGACCCGGAGGAATGTCCCGAAGGCTGTACCAAGAAATGGGAGATGTCTGTGTTTGAAGGGGAATGGGTTAGAGGTACCGTGTTACAATATATTCGTTATAGGAGATTATGTGATAGGATTCTACTGATCTTTTACGCTATGTTATGGACATGCTGTTACGTGGTACAGCCCTACAGTAGCTGCTATGTGTTAAAATGTTGGATAAAACTAATTATCCCGGCCGGAGTGATCAGCTATGATTTTATTCCTGGTGAAGGGCCAATAATGGCGGTTTGGTTTAAATGACCAACTGCTGGTTCAGAGTTAAAAGGATGATTTTCGTAAATTAATAGACTGTTTGAGGCAGTGCGAATTTACTGTTTTACAATACTCAAAGGCCAATAAATTGTGGTACAGGAAGGACGTCAAGGAACGTTTCTGCACTCAGCCAGACTTCTACTAGACCACCTCGTGTCCCAAGGGCTGCGATCACGATGGTTGAATGCCGGCTGTCTGCACACATATAAAATTCACAGATTATCGCAAAATATAGCGTCATAGCAAATGTTAAAAAAAAATTTATTGCAATATTTTTACACGTGGTAGAGCCATGCTGCAGCTACGTTACGGTTGTAACCAGAGAAAGATCACGCTCTCACAGAATACGAATAATAGGCGTTTTTTAATTGAAAATGGTACCATCTTAGTTCTCAAGGGTAATAAAGTATCTGCATATTGATTCTTAATCGAGGATAAATGTAGATGCATATGGGCCACGGTATGCATTTACCATCAGGTGGACTGTGTGCACGTGTATCACTCTTATATATTAATTATATATAAAAATGCTAATTTGCCTGTAAGCAACCCCAAAAAAAGAATATCTTAAGAATATGATTAATTTTTTTGTTCCAGGTGTTACAGCGGGAGGGTGCAGGAACTATTTGGATACTTTCTGGAAGAATCCACAGTACACAGTCACATTGACAGATGTGGATGAGGGCGAAGACGAGAACAAATGTACTGTAAGTGAGAAAATTAATTTCCTTAAGTAAAAATAAAATACATTTAGCAGCTGTTTCGTGCTCTTGGAATCTCTACTGGGCTAAAAGCCTCCACGGGAATGTCATAAGAACTGGTTAATGCAAATCGAGTGTTAAATTGCAGTTGGTAGATACTTGTACGTTAATGGTATTAGCAAACATTTCAATTATTCATCAACTCATTTATTTACATAAAATTATATACATATGTGTCACAGTGCATCATCTCTTCGGTCTTAAGAAGAGAAATTATCGGTTTACTGTAGTAATGACCCGGTACGTGGTGTTTACCCCCACCACTTTTCGTCACACAAAGGTTGCGGATCAGAATTTCGAAGCCCTCCCGTAAAAAGTTTCACTTCAATAAAATACCTTATTTATGATGTAAAAAATATAAATTACTAATACTATATTTTTTTATAGCATAAGGGCGACAAGCGAGCACACAGCCAACCTGATGATGATAAGTGTTTGCTGTGGCCCATAGACAACCACATCTATCCTCGATTAAGAATCAAAATTCAGATGCGTTGTTACCCGTGAGGACTAAGATGGAATGCTTCATTTTCAGTGAAAAGGGTCTCCGGTTCTCGACACTCACCATACGAAACACAGCAGCGTTAAGCTGCTACGATTATAATATGGCTGCAGCTTGGCTCTACCACGTTTAAGAACTAAACTACAGTCTATTAAAAATTCACTTTTGAACATAGGCCTTCCCAAAAGATTGCCTATTATTTGGCATAGTTTCCACGCTTGGCTATATCTATATCTTGTATCAGATAACCTCTGTCGCCTCTTACGACACCCACGGAATCTTGGGGTAGTGGATATTCTTACACCGCCACTACAAAGTATTTGAATTAATCATTAAAAAATAAATCCTCACAGGAGAGTCAACACCACCATTTTATGGTAATAATACCATAACCGTGTAGTGACGGTGTAAGAATATCCACTACCCCATATCGTCCCGTGGGTGTCGTAAGTAGCAACAGAAGGAAACAAATAGGAGATGGGCAGCAGCGTCTACTTAATAACGACTAAAAATAAAAAAACTGCGGTTGTCAAGCGTGACAACTAAGGCAAATATCCCCCCAATGAGGCAATCTATGCGGGAGGCCTATGTTCAGCAGTGGACTTTAATAGGCTGCAACGGCAATATAATTAAGATTCACTTGATTGAAGTGCATTAAGTAAACATGTTCTAGTTCAGAGGTGGTGAACCTTTATGTATCAACGTGCCATTCTTCTAAAGAAATGTTTAATAAGGAAATAGACGTTATGTAAAATAATTTTTACTTCGTGATTACTACTGCGCCCGAACACTCCGTAGCGTAGGATCACTCTCGCGTTCGTTCGTAATATAGTACTTCATAGTGAACTTTGTGATCGGTAGCATGTACAAAATATTGTGTCGCGTGCCATTTGTTCACCATGCCTGTTCTAGTTAAGGATAGATCACTGCAATCAGGTTCTTTGATATAAATAATAATTTTTGCAATATATTCATGTAAATGTATATTTCTTATTTTAGATAATCGTAGCGTTGATGCAGAAGAACCGTCGCTCCCAACGTCACCAGGGACTCGAATGCCTGACCATAGGCTTCGCAGTGTACCGCTTGCCTGACTACGGCCATGTACCCAAACCGCTGGACATCAATTTCTTCAAGTACAACGCTTCTGTGGGACGCTCCCAAGCATTCATCAATCTGAGAGAAGTCAGCGCTAGGTGACTTGAATATTTAACTTTATATTACATTGGTTCTCGAATGGCAGGATCGTACTGGCCAGTGCAATGTTGGATGACCCTCCCCCCATTAGATTGGGTGATCTGATGGATTACCCGGATAGCGAATGGATGCCGGTGGCTCAGGAACGTACTTTCTGGTAATCTATGGGGGAAGCCTATGTACAGTAGTGGCTGTAATATTATTATTATTTGCCGACAAACTAGCTTACAGTTTGGCAAAATTAAAAAAGTGTAGAGTGTACACTCTTTGTAAGAATAAAGCTAAAAAAATTTAAAAAAGCCTACAAAAGTAGGACACATAAGGAATTATTTCCAAATAAAAAAATTATGGGATACAAAAGTTTGAAAAAAAAAATAGGTGTGGATAATTTAACTAACCAGCCTTAAATCCCACAGTACATGAGCAAGGGTTTGAGCCCCGCCGGCACCTATGAATTTGTTAATTGCAATTTCATGTGCTGATTTTCCACGTTCTCGGCGGTGAAGGAAAACATCATAAAGAAATCTGCATGTCTCAGATATTAAAAAAAATCAAAAACATATCTATGATTTTTTAATGAAGTCCGCCAACACGAAGGAGGCAGTGCGGCAGACACTTTCTTGTCTTAAAAACCGTCGCGGAACGTGAAAGGAAGCCTGTCCAGACGTATATGTTATGGCCTGTAAATTTACTTGTTTACCTTTATATTTGATTTAATCAATTAAACGTAGTAAAATTTTACTTTTACGTTGTTAACCGAATTCAATAAATCAAGGAGGTTCCATATTTAATTAAAAATACTAGCAATGCTATTAAACATTACTAATATTCCCTTTAACATCAGTCACTTTAGTCAAAATACTGGAGTGTTTCACGACATTACTCGAATGGCGGATTCGGAACCACGACCTTGTACGTGGTAGAGCCATGCTGCAGCTATATTAGTAGTATAGATGCAGCACGAATGGGTCGGCTCGACCGGGGAAGGACCACGCTCTCACAGAATACCAGCGTAAAATGGCAGCTTGATACTGTTGTGTTTCGCATGGTGAGTGTACAGAACCGGAGACCCTTTTTACTGGAAAAGAGGCATTCCGTCTTAGTCCTCACGGGTGACAACGCATTTGCATTTTGATCCTTTATTGAGGATAGATGTAGATGTCTATGGGCCACAGCAACCACTTACCATTAGGTGGACTGTGTGCTCGTTTGTCACCCTATCCTATATACAAAAACAAACAAAAAAAAAACCTTTTTAGTTCGCGGTCCGCACTAGGCTAGTGTCGCTTAAATTATATTCGATATGTATGTTTTATATGTATATTTTTTATTAAATAGTTTGTACTTCACGGTTGAACATGTGAGAAAATAAAATAGAATTCAAAAAAATCATCACTAAGATTGATAAAATATATATGTATCTAATATACATATATTACATACATGTATATTTTATCAACTACAACTACAATTTTATTAACTACATAGTTAAATGAAGATTTTTATAACCATTTAAATTGCATTCTATTTGCAGTTGTCATCTTTTGAGGTTTCTTTATGCTCTTTATTAAAAGTCGAATTATTTTTAGGTTTAAGTTCGAGCCGGGAACATACGTGATCGTGCCGTCCACCTTTGAGCCGAATGAAGAGGGAGAGTTCTTACTGCGAGTGTTCTCTGAGAAGGACAACAACATGGCGTCAGTATAATTTAAATTAGTGATAATTTTTATTAAAAAAATATTTTTGTTATTTAGCGAAGGATGACTTTATTAGTGATGTAACGATTTATTTTTTATTTTAGTGAGAATGACAGAGATGTGGGCATGGGCGATGTCGACGATCGGGTACGTATATGAATATTGTATTTATTAAGTTTAATAATATTTCAGTTACCGTTATCATTATTGCCTCCCCCATAGATTGCCTTATCGAGGGGGGAAGGGGAATTTTTTTATAGGATAGGGTGACAAACGAGCACACAGTCCACCTGATGGTAAGTGGTTGCTGCGGCCCCTAGACATCTACATCTATCCTCGTTTAGGAATCAAAATGCAGATGCGTTGTCACCCGTGAGGACTAAGATGGATTGCCTCTTTTCCAGTAAAACGGGTCTCCGATTCTCTACGCTCACCACACGAAACACAGCAGCGTTAGGCTGCTATTTTACGCTGGTATTCTGTGAGAGCGTGATCCTACCCCGGTCGAGCCGACCCATTCGTGCTACAACTATACCACTAATATGATTATTATTAGGAAAGGAATATTTGGCAAAAGCAGTTTGTATTCTATTAGAAAGATGCTGCTGTTCATTTCTTGGTTTGTTTCCTCTTACGTCACCCGCAGAACGATATGAGGTAGTGGATATTCTACACCGCCTTTACATGGTTAAATATTAAAAGGACATTCGGCCTACAAGTATATTGTTACTACTATATTGTTAAAATAACAAAGCTCGATAGACTGAAAGACAAGTGCATCTCGGACTAATTATGCCTCCTCCAAAACTGAACCGAATCTAATTTTTCTGCAATAACTGTAAAATAAACATTAGTATGTCTGTATGTTTTTCCTTTATTTTTTATGTTTGTTAAATTTGTTTGTTGGAAGTCTAATAACAGCGGCATTACTGGGGAACTTTAGTAATTTTGGAAGTTTCCCGGTTTTGAAATATATTATTTAAAAAAAAACAGGGACATGGCTCTAATTAGAAGTTTCTTAGTTTGAAATAACTAATTTTATTTAAAAAAAAAATACAGCCACATGACAGTGATGGATATAAATTGTATGGTGAAATATTTTTACTCTCTTGTCATTATCCAGAGTGAAAACAGGACAACAAGTTTCTATGGACTAAACATCGCCCGGATATCCTCATAAGAATTTAAAATACATAATACATTTAAGGCTAGGCGCAATACTCCTTTTTTGCCTTTTCTTTAACATTATATCTTAAAAATAGCTATTTTTTTTACAATCAAAATTAAAAATATCAATTGAGCAGCGATAGACCTTAACCTCAAAATTTATAAAAGCTAAATACTGAAATATTTGTTCGAATAGTTATTCATTATTACTCAATTGCATTTTTTATTAATGGCTTGCACTTTTCCACACTTATCAACAGTAAATACATTTATTAATACAGTTTACACATATAAATTAGTCTATATAACTGTACACTTTACACACTGTACACTATCAACGCGCGCGCTCATTGGTCAAATCAAATAGCGCGCGCATCCCCGTCTTCCTGTTACACACTTCCGTCCCGTTTCACGAAATCACTCGTACAGATTACAGGAAAGCGAGAGGAAATATGTTAAATAATAAAAATACTGCAGTTGCTAACGCACCTGCCAAGCGTATAAACTATGGCAAATATCCCACCTTCATTTTGATAACTTTTAATGGGTAAAAAAGGTTTCATTTCTGGAATGCTTATTTTAGTATTTCTAAAAATTGTAGGTGAAAGAAATAGCACCTGACCCAGAACCAGCAGATCCAGTGCGTGATTTCTTTAACCGCTTGGCCGGAGCCGACGGGGAAGTCGATTGGCAGGAACTCAAGGAGATCTTGGACTATGCTATGAGAGAAGGTATGTAAAGAGACTCACTTAATCATATTTATAATACATACTTTTGAATTCTATGATAAACATTATCCTAATTATGTACAGAAGTTATTACAACGGTATTTTAATGCTAGGTCCACATTTGATAATCTTGGCGTATCTTGTCTTAGCCGGGTAGCTCCGACGTGTATCATGATCGCTATTTCGGACGCAAAATTATTCGCGATCATTGTGATACACTGTTGTGATACCGTATCAGATATATTCTTTATTGCATACACGTATCGTTTGATATAGACGGATTTTGATGTTGTATCACGATACGATGAAGCGTTATGATACATGAAACGCTACTCTTTTCAATTTTACCCTGATCATCAAAAGGAATACTTCACGCCGCTACATGGTCTTGAAAAGTTTGGACGTGGGAATATACGAGGATCAGAGGATAATGTGTGGGCATGGCGACTACATATAGATAATATTATCTCGATACGCTGACATGATACTACATAGTTAAGTATAAACGCATTTTTGACACGATACGGCTAGTCATAAGATATGGTCGTAATGGCGTCCATACTTAGATATGTGTACTCGATACAAACGCCTGGTCAAGATACATCCAGATGATCAAATGTGGAACCGGTTTAACATTCGGAATAAGAATGATCTATCAGAAATCCCCAGACTTTTCACATCGGCAGGCTTTTTTATTAATCCAAGAAATACATACGTTCTGAGTTTTATATTTTAAAAAGAAAACTATAATCCTTTATTGTGACTTGTTATTTTAATTGAACCATAAGTAAATCGTGAAGACGTCAGTTTAGCCTACTTCTGGCAAACTCTTTCAAAACATTTAACCAATTTTGAGATTGAACTAAAACTTCGCAATGTCGAAATTTGTATAATTTGAGTTTAAACTCATTGAGTTCATCCCCGATTACAAGTCTAAGACGACTAAGAATATATATCAATAAGTATTTTATTTGAACCTTTTGCTAAGCTGTAAGAAATTATAATGATCGCGTGCTGATTATTTTCTGTTATAATTTTTACACATTAAAATGCCTGCATGCAATTAATGATGTTTGTAATACATTATAGTTGTGAATAATAAAGTTATGGTCACCATAAACAAATTGTAAACATTGGTTTTCTCTTTTTCTTGTTTCTATAGCAAAAATTATGCATAGACAAGAAAATCAAGTTAATTACACAATTTCAAATAATCTAAAGAATACGTCATTTATAATCCCAAGTAAAAAAAACTAATGTATAACTTTGAATCTAGTAAATTCTTTTGTTAATGAGTTTAATAAAATATCTTAAGGATATTTATTCAATTTCTGACTGAAGAAAAAAAATTTGACTAATATTATTCAAATTTATGGAGTTAGTATTTAAAATTTCTTTCATTTTAATTATTAATATTAAATAATAGCACTCGCCTAATAGCGTGTGAATTAAATTACCGTGTTTTCATACTATTCATGTTTATTTTGTTTCATAAAAAAATAATTGTTTTAAAATGCCCATTTTGAGCTTTCACTGTTATAACGCTTATGTGCCAAGTTAAATGCAGCTTTGTCGGTATTTTTGTTTGCGCCCACGAGAGAAAATATGTAAGTATTTATTTTATTTATGAGTATGTTATCTGATAATATTTTTGTTTTTACTGATTGTATTTTTGTAATTTAAAAATCTAAATTTCTTTTTTTATATATATTTTAAAGCAATTATGTAAGTGCTGTTAGCTAGAACCATGAAATAATAAATTTTTACTGTAACTGTATAGTGAAAATATATTAATATTTAAGGAAAAATTTACCTAACGATTCATTGAAGTAATTTTTAAGATTCATCAATTAGACGTTTAACATTTTAAGCTTTTGTCAAATTATTTGTCTACATATTTACAGTATGTATTTATTTTGTAAATATTATATATTTTTGTATACAAATGTCTACTATCAGGTTATATTATTATCTACAAAACGGTACTTTTTAGACGCTAATGCGTAGACTACACGCACGCTATTATTATGTTTTATTTATTTTTGTATTACTTTGGCAAAATAATTGTAATATTTTTCCATTTTTTGTTAGAGATTATGATTTACCTTTATATCTGACAGGATTTAAATTATGCTCATAAATACAGTATATAACTTCACAGTATCTGCATTCGTAATATTTTTTGTTGGATTTTTAGGCTTTGAGTATCTAGTTTATAAGCGGGAGCTTACAGGTAGCGCGCATTTACCTAGAATGTGTGAGTGAGTGAAATAGAATACTCTGTTTTACTCACTCACTTGGGCTATAATACACGCTGTCAATCCAATGAGGAGCGTTGCAACTTTCGTTTGTACTTTCGTGACGTTTCACATTTTCCGCGTTAGGTCCTCATTACACATATGTATGATAAAACCACCATTCTTCTTTGTGTTGATTTATTCATATTTTTGGCAAGCGAAGTGTCGACACTCCACCTAGTCGGGAGCCGTCACACGAGATGGAGAATATGGTAAGAGATGTGGGAAGTCGATCGATGCAGGTAGCTCAGGTCCGTGTTTTTTGACATTCCTTTGGGGAGGCTTATGTTCAACAGTGGAGTAAAGAACTATGACGATGATGTTGATTCATATTATTATCCCTTGTTTATTGTGTATATTGCACTGCTAGTCGAGCAGGCTAATTTGATAAATGTTTCCGAGTTCCCACGTTCATCTTATATTTTAATACACTGAATTCAAGTGTGAGTGACGGTCAATTACGACAGTCGTCGCAAGTCTGTACCAATCAAATTTTTCAGGAAATAGATTGAATTTTTTTAAATTATTATTAATTCTACTTTGCGACCGAATACAATAAAATATTGGGTTTTTCTTAAAATACATTTAATAAAATAAAATAATTATCTTAAAATGGTGGCGTGTCTTGACGATTGACGTTTACAGTGAAGTTGTCTGCAAATTATATTCGAAAAGTATTATATTTAATATTAGCAATGATAAACGTTAAGGTAACATAGCTGTAACTACAACATAGTGTACTCCGGGAACAGAGCTAGCGATGAAGCAGGGCGGCGCGTACGACGGCGGGGGGCTCGGCGGGGGCGCGGGGCCGGGCGGGGGGGAGCCGCCCGTGCAGAACTGCCTCGAGCAGCTGCTCTGTGCACTCTGCACGCCCATCTGCAAGGAGTTTGGAATCGACCTGCAGCAAGTACAGCAGCAGGCCGCGAACTCGGAGCAGGTCCATCTCACCCAGCCGCAACCGACCACCGGTGGGTGAAAATAAAATTATATTTGGATTATTTGAAGCAACAAATGTATACCGACTTCAGCTTTCGGCCGATGCGAATGAAATTTGTATGGGACTACTGTAAAAATATGTTCTATCGTTATATTAAACGTCAGTTAAACGATTTGATAAGCTATTTTCTAGAAGCCGGTTAAAAGAAACCCATTCTTTTATTTTTCTCTTGATTTATTATAGAAAAAAATTTAAATTTATCACATTTTTAGTTAACTACTTTAATATAGTTTCCTCTACTGCGAGAGAATTTGTGGGTGGGAATCAACGATTAATGGATTGAAATTGATATGGCATATTAAATAACATTTACATGGCATTGATATGGCATATTATTAACAAAAATTTAGCATATATATTTAGCGTTATTATTTTTTGATTCTTAATTGGGGATAGATGTAGTGTCTGTGAGACTGTGGCTCTCCATAAAATCAGGTGAACTGTATGTATGTTCGTCACCTATTATTTATTAAGCTTAGTTATCCCATCTTATCATGGAAATCGAGCAAGGGAAACGCAATAAAAACCTAATCACCATTGACATATAGCTAAAAATTTATCGCCATAGTAAAACCGGATATTCTGCTGCGACCCGTTTTGAAAGGAGAAATAGAAATCCTAACAGTAACCGCAAAAATATATTAACCAGGTTTTATTTGGACAAACTTTGATCTTAGTTTTGTGCGCATGTAAATAGACCGCTCCGTGGCGCTGTGGCTTAGCAATGAGTTTCAGCGCTAAAGGTCGCGGGTTCGAATGCCGCACGAATCCCGCACGGGACAAGTATTTGTATGGCTTACAAATAATTGTTACTGGTTGTGAAATTTATGTATGTAAACTGCCCCTACTATACAGTAGACAGTATACAGGAGAAAATTCTAATGTATAGGTAACGTTTTAATAAAGATTTTTTTTTAAATTAAGAAACTGATATTTGGACAATCTTTGATCAGTGTTTGTCGTGTAGTGGCGACATAAGGGAATCCACTGGGTGTCGTAACACCCCCGTGGGTGTCGTAAGAGTAGGCAGAGCGAAACGAAACAAGATATGAGTAGCAGCATCTTCCAGATAAAAACCCAATCCCCCCCGTCAAGCGTGGCAACTATGGCAAATGTATAGCAATCTATGGGGTGGCCTAGAAGCGGTAGACTTCGATAGGCTGCAATGCAATGTATGAATGAATTTTCAAATATGTTTAATTTTTATTTTAGCATTTGATTTTGTTTAATTTAACTAATAATTTCACATTTTCCAGGGTGACATTCGACACTGCACGCTTCTCCGTTGGTTTCCGAACTTGATATTATTTATAGAAATGGAGGGAACAGCAATTTAAAATGTCTGTTTTTGCGCATATAAAATTATTATTTTTTATATTTGTGTGTGTGTGTTTTATTTCAGATACGGCGTGACTTCTTCGGCAAATTTTGTTTTAATCTAATGTAAATTAATGCTGTTTCGTCACTGGCAGCCATTATTTTACATGTATTACATTACACTGTGTACGCTTAATGTAGCAACTAACACCATTGAAATGTAGGCATTAACAATTCCATTTGATAATGTCTAGATTTCCACACGCTTTACGTCAGCATGACTTGTTCACGGCACAAAAATGGGCATTTTAAACTTAGTATTTTTTGTTTTATTGAGTAAAATAATGTTATTCACCTCCATTTCCATAAACATTTATTATTTATTTTTGTGTATTGGAGTCGTATCGCTATGTATTACAGATATTCACAAGTGTCACATCACTCACAGTGTAGGCAGTAATTCAGAATATTTTGCCTCTTTGTAAAAAAAAATTACTGTCATTTAGTACCATGAATTTTGAAACATTTTTATATTTTTTTTTATTCCATAAATATACGAACGTTGTTGCTTCGTCACATTTATTTCAATAAAATAGGTAAACAAAAACGATTATAAATAAACGTTCTTAATGCGAATTTTTCTGTATGACTTATTGTAACTAGAAACTGCCATAATGTATTACCTAAAAATAGTCAGAACAGTTTTCAAAAAAATTATAATATAAAAATGATATACATACCATAATGTTATGAACACCTGTGCATATACATAGCATAACGCCACCAATTATCCCCACAGGGTTTTATTTATATAGGTTTTATTACTAAACGAGTGTTTATAAAATTACAGAACTAAAAGGCCATGGTTTCTCCAAGGACGCGTGTAGGAGCATGATCGCGATGTTGGATAAGGACAACTCCGGCGGCCTCGGCTTTGATGAGTTCAAATCGCTTTGGGTTGATCTGCGCAATTGGCGGGTGAGCTAATTTATTTTCTATTTAGTATTTAAATACACTATAAGTGAACGGCAGAGTCGGGAAAGGACTCCCTAGACGAAGATTTAACGACCAAATCGGCGATACGTTGAAAATGGGCCAGATTAGGAGTGGAGTACCCTTAACCGACGAGCGTGTATGCGGAGATATATGGATGTAAAGGAGGCGAGAGAAGTGTGTCAGGATCGTGCCAAATGGAAGTCCGTAGTCTCTGCCTACCTCTCCGGGTGCCTACCTCTCCGTGGCGTGAGTGTTTGTGTTGTTGACACAACACAAACACTCACGGAGAATACAAGAAGCGCGGGGAGTTTCTCACCACCGCGCCTAAGACCGGAACTCTGCGATAGCCTGCGACCCAATCACCACCAAATTATTTTATATTTTGATTATTTAAATAAATAATTTTGCCTATCGTGTGGTCGCCTATTTTATTCATGTTCCCTAATTGAACACACTTTATGTATCGATCTATCAATACTGTTGTTCCCGTATGATTCCTACACATCAATACCCTTTGTCGACACTGAAAATTCTATTTTAATTTTTAGGCGGTGTTCCGTCTATACGATACGGAAGGTAGAAATGCCATCCCCGCACAGAACTTGCGCGACGCTTTGCATTCAGCCGGCTATACAGTCAACGCGCATGTACTCAACGTTCTCGCTCATAGGTATGTTTATTTTTATTATATACCAGTAAACTACCGTAACATTGCCGTCCCTGATTAACTTTGCCTAATACGAAAATATCCCCATAACTTTGTAATTTTTACATATGCAAAACGAAAACATAGTAATTTTTAAGATTATAAAAGTGGGAACCCAAAACTGAAGCCGCAATTTTTTAAAACGTCATACAGCTCACGTTATCAGCCATTGAACAACATCGAACCTAGTCCAATATTTTTTGGCGCTACAAACGTTTGATATAAGTTGAACATTGATACTTTTATCTGATTATTTTTAATATATATACTTACTTAAATTTACGGCATTTCTTTATTAATAATAATATAATAAATTATTGTATTATGTATGGTATTATATATTTTACTACTAAAAGCCGAAGTGAGGATACAGCTAACTTTAGCCGGCTATTACTAGGTAGGTACAACCGATTTCGGTTGGTTAAACTTAGGTGTAATATATATAATTTATAAATTAAATAAAGTTCTGCGGTTTACCTACTGTCCGCATCTTAACAGGTTCCCTATCCGCGAAATAGACACAGTATTTAAAGAATGTAAATGTTTATATAATATGATTCATGTAACAGGCAAAGATTTTACCTACTGTCACTGATATTACTTTATACGTGTTTCCGTATTTTTGCAAATTTAACAGTACACCAAGTTCAACCAACTTCAATCGGCCTGCATTTAGTAATAGCCGTCTAAATCTAGGTTTTCCAGCCGAACTGCGAATACACATAGTACGTTCGTATGTTCGTTCAAGTCCCGTGAACATCGGCGCAAAAACAAATGTTTGTTGCATCTGGAAATGTTTTTTAACCTACCCCCGGTAATACTCTGGATGTGTAATAGGCACAATCTTAATAAGACTATAAAATAAGTAGGTTAGCTAAGTCTGACAAAACAGGTTAAGAAAATGAGTGTGAGTACGAATGGGGTTTATCCCTCACTATGAAAATCGATTTTAATGAAAACTTAATCAGTTATCCATTATAATATTCAATATCTCAAATTTGATTGGTGACCATATCACTATTACTTCTCGAGACCTACTATGATAACCTACGAACTTATACATACCACATATCACAGACCTCATTAAACAACATGTAACAAAAGCCTTGTGGGTTCCCTTTAAGTATTCAAACGTATAGAAATAACTTTACTTCAGAAAACTCGACCATAAAAAAAATAATTTGATTTAAAATATTTATGTATGTGATTTTATTACCTTTAAATTAAAAAAAAAAATGTTTTTATAGTTAACCATAGGAATTTTGTTACATGTATAAATGATAATTGGGCTCTATGGGTCACAAAAAGCGGAGTTATGGTTATAACTTAGACTTTTAAATATCGAACACTTATATTTAACAACTTCCATATGAGAAAGTAAAAAATATAGATGCTCTGAAAAGAGATAAAAGTATTATTAAAGTGTATTAATTAAAAACAAGAAAATAGTATCTATTCCTTGTATAAATTTATCGATAAAATATATTGAAGTAAAAAATTATCGTTAAAATATATCGAATCCTACACAGATCCCTTATAAATAGGTAAAGATTCGTCATTGAAATATATTAAATTCTACCTACCTCTTATAAATTCACAAATGAAATCACTTTCCAAACATTGCCTTACAGATACGGCTCGAGTGACGGCTACATCCAGTTCGACGACTTTATAATGTGCGCCGTGCGATTGAAGACCATGATCGGTGAGCACATTGATTACCATTTACCACCCATGTATTTATAATCTGTTGCCTATTTTCCATGTGCCTGACATTATGTCATATATGTGTTCTTTGTAAACTTGTAACTCGTGTCGACTGCCTCGTTGATCTATTGCTCGCAAGCGCGACTACCGACCCATGAGGTCCCAGGTTTGAATCCCGGATTAGGCCAATATCAGTTGTCGGGTGTTTCGTCAAGAAATTCTCAGTAGTAGCCTGGAGTCTAGAATTTACCAGTGTTTAAACCCGTGCCTCGAAAAGCATGTAAAGCCTTGCACCTGAGCTCTCCGGTCGTGTAGGATTAGCATCCCATTGAACTGTAGGAGTAAAGTAATAAAGAGTGCACTTGCGCTTGCGCGATACACTTAGGCTCTATCAACGTTGAAACTAATTTGAGCTGGAGTACAATATATCTTCGTAAAGGCATATTCAAGAATAGTCAATTCGGTTTAAAAACGTCTAGACCAGTGGCGGAAGCAACATTTGCTGTAATATCCACATTTGTCTGGAGTGGCGTTTACAGATTCTCCTTTTTATACAAATGACGGTGACAAACGAGCACAGTCCGCCTGATGTTCAGTAGATGATGTGGCACATGTAAAACAAACAGTATCCTCGGCTGGTATCATGCATTATCACCCCTAAGGACTACGCTAGAATGCCTCCTTACCAGCCAAAAGGACCCTTTGTGTTGCAACAAAAGATGGATACAAAAGGCAACTAGGATGCTCACATGAGATGTGTACACATGTGATGATTACATATATGATAGCTCCCCAGAGGCCGCTTGCTGTAAATTGCCCCAGCTGGCGTACTGTGAAATTTACAGCTTGCTGTAAACTTCACAGTATGCCAGCAACCCAAGTTCGATCCCTGCAGGAACCAATGAAATTGCTAATTGCAAATCTAAGTGCCGATTCACCACGTGCTCTGTGGTGAAGGAAACTGTCGTCAGGAAACCCCCATATCTGATATATAAAAAAATATTTTCGAAGTCATGTGAAGTACTCGCAAAAATTCTCTCAGAAATGAGAGGCCTGTACCCAGCAGTGGAGTATATAGGCTATAACTTTACTTTTTATTTAACATATCACATAAAATAACCTTTCCTAGTCCACTGCTGAACTTTTTAGACGTTATTTTGGAGATTCGCTCGACCTCACCATGCCATTTATCCTTCAAGTTCCAGTTTTTGTTACTTCATGAAATAAATTCTAAATTTTCACATTTATATCTTAAGTGTAATGAATTTTATTACAATTATTGTAGCAATAATAAAATAATATATAAAACAGCTAACAACGAACCGCTCGAGAATCTCGAGCGCGAACTGCAATGGAACTCGTGAAGAGGATGTCGACGTTCGACGAGAACAAGCAGTGTACGCAGGAAACTTTACACTCACACCATGTATTCGGCCATTACACATCGCACCAAAGACTGCCTGGAACCATGCGATAAATTAAAAATAAATTGTTTCTTTCATTTTCTTTAAATTCATATTATTATTATTATTTTTTAAATTTCGCATTCGAAGTTTAAATCCAAGTCAAAGTAAATTTAAAATAGTAATATCTTTTAAATTTAAAAATAAAACGTAATATAATTTCCTGCCTTACCTTTTGTTTCGCAACACCTATGTAATTAAAATAATTTGGTTTGAAATATTATTTCACACGAATATGAATGCGTTATTTAAAAAAAAAATAGCATAAAATTGTATTTAGTTTTTAACATGTTGCATCTATTAATATGGTTCCGACAAGTCTTTTCTAATATCGTTTACTACAGTTTACGTATAAATGGTAGAGTTTTAACCTTTTTGATATATTTTTCGTTTCAGTTACCCTGATGCCACTGTCAGTAGACGATAATTTTTCACGAAATTTAGGTTATCTACAAGAAATCCGATATAAAGTTTTAATAACAAAATAGAATTCTTTATTATTTTTAATATAAGGATACCTGTGTAGATGGCCTATTAGTACACACTAATCGCTTACTAATGTTCTAACATATGCGCCAGGTTTTATTGAATTTATAACGTCTATTTTTTATCCTTTCAGAAACCTTTAAAGGGAGGTCTTCAGGTGGAGATTACGCAACATTCTCCCTCGAAGAATGGCTGAATCGCACAGTCTACTCTTAGATGTATTAAAAAACCGCTGAATTAAGAATGTATGCCTTATTACTTATTAACCTAGGGCCTACAATTAAGCGCACTATAACCGGCCAAAATTATATATTCCAGAGTTTAATGTTTATATATAAGAAATAAAACAATCTAAAAATATTACTATGAAAAAAAGTGCCCATTGATTAGTCACAAATAAATTATTATATCTTTGATAAATCGATGTAGTGTAAATTATTAATTTATTAATACGGGTAATTTCTCTTGGTTGTAATTTAAATTGAAATAACTTTTCTAAATTATACTTAATATATCAATTGCTTATATTTCTTAATAACCTTATTCAGTGTAACAAATAACAATATAATGTATAAGATAAAACAGTATTTTTGTATCCACCGACTTTTCATTCCAACGCAGTTTTATAATTACACCTCATTATTTATGTCATTTACGCATCTTTAGTAATTGTGCGATGCATAGCTGTGAAATCCATTTATAGTTTTCAATATATTGCTGTTATGTATTTCATGAACTCTATTGTATACGATGGTTCATTCTACGTCGCGTTGACAAATGCATTTTTATTTGCAAGCTATTATTATAAATATATATGACAATTATACTATTTTGTATTTTAATTCTCAGATCTGAGTAAATTATGTTTTCATTTACGCTGTGTATTATTTTTATGTACGTCGTTACTCAAAAAAAATCCTCCCTGAATATCCCCTGTCTGTGCCCAGTAGTAGGATGAATATAGACTGTACAAACTTTACGCAAATTGAACTGTCGAAACTTAAGACGAATTTGCTCACAAACTGGATCAGGCGCACATTCCGTCCCTGACCTGTCGATTCCACGTTGAATAAACACAAATTACTAACAGGGTTATATTATGTTAGGAACAAAATTAGTTGTTATTTAATAGAACAAGACAAGTTGAAAATTGAATGATATTTATTTGAACAAGATAAGTTGATAATTGAATGATATTTATTTGCACAAGATAAGTTGATAATTGAATGATATTTATTTGCACAAGATAAGTTGATAATTGAATGATATTTATTCAAACAAGATAAGTTGATAATTGAACGATATTTATTTAAACAAGATAAGTTGATAATTGGATCATATTTATTTAAGAAATATAAGTTGATAATTGAATGATATTTATTTAAACAAGATAAGTTGATAATTGAATGATATTTATTTAAACAAGATAAGTTGATAATTGGATCATATTTATTTAAGAAATATAAGTTGATAATTGAATGATATTTATTTAAACAAGATAAGTTGATAATTGAATGATATTTATTTAAACAAGATAAGTTGATAATTGAATGATATTTATTTAAACAAGATAAGTTGATAATTGGATCATATTTATTTAAGAAATATAAGTTGATAATTGATTGATATTTATTTAAACAAGATAAGTTGATAATTGATTGATATTTATTTAAACAAGATAAGTTGATAATTGAATGATATTTATTTAAACAAGATAAGTTGATAATTGAATGATATTTATTTAAACAAGATAAGTTCATAATTGAATGATATTTATTTAAACAAGATAAGTTGATAATTGAATGATATTTATTTAAACAAGATAAGTTCATAATTGAATGATATTTATTTAAACAAGATAAGTTGATAATTGAATGATATTTATTTAAACAAGATAAGTTGATAATTGAATGATATTTATTTAAACAAGATAAGTTGATAATTGAATGATATTTATTTAAACAAGATAAGTTGATAATTGAATGATATTTATTTGCACAAGATAAGTTGATAATTGAATGATATTTATTTAAACAAGATAAGTTGATAATTGAATGATACGAGGGTGGATTGAAAAGTACTCGGCCTAACACAGATCCATTCAATTCTAAAAATCAAATCTACCCACATTATTTAGTTCAGTTCAGACTAGTTCATTGTGTGAAGTTCGAAACGTGTGCGATAATTAGTTGTGATTTTATAAATTTATTAACAAAGTAATCGGACATAATTTCCGCGAATGGAGCAAATCGAGCAGCGTGCCGTCATTAAGTACCTCCATAAGAAGGGGCTATCATCAAAAGCCATCCATGATGACATGGTCAGTACATTAGGCGATTGTGCTCTGTCATATTCATCCGTCAAAAAATGGATAGCAGAATTTAAGCGTGGTAGAGAGAGTGTGAAAGATAAACCCCGCTCTGGAAGGCCTTCAACGTCAACTACTGACGAAAATATTAAAAAAGTACTTGATTTAATAATGGGAGACCGCAGATTAAAAATTAGAGAGATAGCCGAGATTATAGGCATCTCTTATGAACGAACTCAAAACATCATTGTCAACGAGTTGGGTTTCCACAAGGTGTCTGCGAGGTGGGTTCCGCGACTGCTTTCAGTTGAACAAAAAAGGACGCGATTGACTATTTCACGCGACTGTTTGGAGTTATTTGAAGCCGATGCAGATGATTTTTTGAATCGTTTTGTTACTATGGACGAAACATGGGTTCATTACTGTACACCGGAAACAAAACAACAATCAAAACAGTGGAGAAGACCTGGTTCACCACCCCCTAAAAAGGCTAAGTCGATTTTGTCGGCAAATAAGGTGATGGCTTCAGTATTCTGGGACTCGAAAGGTGTGATTATGATTGATTATCTTGAAAGGGGTCAGAATATAAACTCTGATTACTACTGCACCTTACTACGTCGTTTACGAGAGGAAATAAAAGAAAAACGTCGAGGAATGCTCAGAAGAAAAGTCCTGTTTCATCAAGATAACGCCCGTGTTCACACGTCAGTACAGTCAATGGCTGAAATTCACAACTGTGGCTTTGAACTGTTACCGCATCCGCCGTATTCACCTGATCTGGCACCATCAGACTTCTTTCTGTTCCCTAACCTAAAAAAGCACTTGAGAGGTCAAAGATTTTCGACAAACGACGAGGTCAAAGCAGCTGTAGACGCATATTTTGACTCTAAGGAAGAATCATTTTTTTTCAACGGTCTAAATGCTTGGAAGGGGAGGTGGCAAAAGTGTATTGAACTTGATGGTGATTATGTAGAAAAATAAAAATATAACTGATTTAGTATGTGTTTATTTTCTTGGTTAGGCCGAGTACTTTTCAATCCACCCTCGTATTTATTTAAACAAGATAAGTTGATAATTGGATCATATTTATTTAAGAAATATAAGTTGATAATTGAATGATATTTATTTAAACAAGATAAGTTGATAATTGAATGATATTTATTTGCACAAGATAAGTTGATAATTGAATGATATTTATTTGCACAAGATAAGTTGATAATTGAATGATATTTATTTAAACAAGATAAGTTGATAATTGAATATTTATTTAAACAAGATAAGTTGATAATTGGATAATATTTATTTAAGAAATATAAGTTGATAATTGAATGATATTTATTTGCACAAGATAAGTTGATAATTGAATGATATTTATTTAAACAAGATAAGTTGATAATTGAATGATATTTATTTAAACAAGATAAGTTGATAATTGAATGATATTTATTTAAACAAGATAAGTTGATAATTGAATGACATTTATTTAAACAAGATAAGTTGATAATTGAATGATATTTATTTGAACAAGATAAGGTGATAATTGAATGATATTTATTTGCACAAGATAAGTTGATAATTGAATGATATTTATTTGCACAAGATAAGTTGATAATTGAATGATATTTATTCAAACAAGATAAGTTGATAATTGAATGATATTTATTTGCACAAGCTAAGTTGATAATTGAATGATATTTATTTAAACAAGATAAGTTGATAATTGAATGATTTTTATTTGAACAAGATAAGTTGATAATTGAATGATATTTATTTAAACAAGATAAGTTGATAATTGGATCATATTTATTTAAGAAATATATGTTGATAATTGAACGATATTTATTTGAACAAGATAAGTTGATAATATAATATTTATTTGAACAAGATAGATTGATAATTGAATGATGTTTATTTGGACAAGACATGTTGATAATTGAATATTTATTTGAACAAGATAAGTTGATAATTGAATGATATTTATTTGAACCCAGACGATGCCGTGCGTGGTTTGCGTGCTTAGGTGTAGCGTGTTAAATCACACCGGAACAAAAGTGAATGATTTGCTACATGGCAGGTAAAGGTGCTCTGTGATGGGCAGGAGATATGGGTACCTTCTCAGGCTGACTCCTAGGAAGGAAATAGGATTCCACCTTTAGTATCCTTCCTGGCTAACTGTACCATCATCTCCGAACACAACGTCGTATTTTAATAGATGTGTCACGGCTAAAAGCCGATATGTGGTTACACCGAGCTTTAACCGACGAATTGCGGATTGCGGTTGGTTGAACTAGTTAGATGCATTCGATTTACTCATAGTAGAAACTAGGCGTGGCCTGTTGCTTTCTGGTAAAACTAGATATAGTGACGTCCAAGTATTATATTAAAATAACTACTAAGTCTCGGACATTTATAAATTAGGCCAAATCGAATATCCCTAATTTTAGATAAAATTAGTTGTTGATAAAGGTTATTTGAAATTAGGAGGTGCGTATGGTGAGTGCAGATGTAAGAACACTATTTTATATATATATACAAAGTGACGATGAAGTTATCACGTTAAATGAAAAGACGTATTCTATACAAAGTTCTTTAAACATACACAACTAAAAAAATATATAACAATTAACATTCTGGGCGCAGTAGCCTTTTTTTTGTTTTAATATTAAACAACATCATGTAAATGCATCAGATATAACCTGATAAATACTAGAAGTTCAAAGACCCATGGCCCGTGAAGGCCAAGAGACCTATATTGTATTATAGTGCAACGTTGCCAATTTTAAATAATCAAATAAAGTAATAAATTAAGCAAAAAATGTACTTATATGTAACAAAATAAAGCATAATTCTTATGCGCGATGCGACAAGCATTGGGACGGGATGTTGGGAGGGTGGGATGTGGTCGATTGGCGCGTGCGACGATAAATTAAGACAGTAAGTCACTTAGTCCGACGCCGGCGTCCTTGGGAACGGTTCATTAATCGCTTGACCTAATTTTAGTTTTTCGCGTACACGTCCTTTTAATTTAAAGTTTTTTTTTGTGGATATTTTCATAAGTTTCTTGATTTGTTTGTGATAGGACACGTTAATACTATAATAATAATTGTGTTGAGGAGGTGGTGTGACTATTTGTGCGAAATTTGACGCTTTCTTTTACTGTCTTGTATTTTTTATTTGTGATAGGACTCGTTAATAATAGATAAGTGATATTTAATAACTTAGTGGTGTGTCAGCCCGTGCGCAATTGGACGCTTTTATTTTTTTAAACGTATAACTTTTTTTATTTTAAAATGCTTCGTATCAATTTTACGTCATTGGAATACACCGATATGGTTTTAATTTATGGAGAATGCCACCAAAACGCGTCCCTGGCATTACGAACATACCGAGAGAGGTATAATACCACACGTGTATGTCCTACAGACTCACGGATTTTTATACGGGCAGTCCAAAGATTACGTGACGGCGAAAATTTGATTCCACGTCAGGTTGAAATTCCTCCGCGAGTCGCCGTGGCTCAGGAAGAACGAATATTAAATTATTTCGCTCGTAATCCAACATCAAGTCTCCGTAGAGCAGCTCGCCAATTCTGTGTACACCACAAGTCTGTTCACAGAATATTAAAAAAAAACAAGCAACGGCCGTTCAAATACGTAAAGGTACAGGCTTTATTAGATAGAGATAAGCCAGTTAGGGAAGCCTACTGTGAATGGCTCCTGAGCAAAGTAGCTAATGACTCTAACTTTTTAGCAAACGTAATGTGGACTGACGAGAGCACATTCACGCGTAACGGAATATGGAATCGGCAGAATTTACGATACTGGAGTCAAGAAAATCCGCAACTGTGTCGAGAGTCTATGCACCAATATAGATTTGCCGTTAATGTTTGGGCTGGAATACACGGAGATCAAATAATTGGTCCCGTGTTTATCGAAGGCAACCTTAATGGGCCTAAATTTTTGGAACTGCTTGACGACACAGTGGCGGATTACGTTGATGGACTATCGTTGGGGGCCAATAGCCGGTTATGGTACCAGCTTGATGGAGCACCTGCTCATTCAGTGGTGGCTGCCAGGCAGCGCCTCACTGAGATGTTCGGAGAGAACTGGATTGGCAGATACGGACCTTCTCGGTGGCCAGCACGGTCTCCGGATCTAACACCGTTAGATTTCTTTTTATGGGGTTACATAAAAAATGAGGTGTACTCTACTGAAGTAACGACTGTCGAGGACTTAAAAATAAGAATAATGCGGGCTTTCGACAAAATAAAAAATTTTGCAGCCAATGGTGCCCTCTTTCGAAAAGTCCGAAATAATATCATGCGACGATGTCAATTATGCATTCGGGTACACGGCGGACATTTTGAAAATTTAAAAATTTGATTTGTTTCATAAACTTGAGTGATTTCAAGGTTAAAGTGATTATTTGGATAAAAAAATACCATGAAATTTGTGATTTGTTGATAACATCGGATTAGCATCGCCCTACGCGTGCCTAATTACCTATGTATGGGCAAGTCCTAGGACTATTATAATATAATTACCTATATCGATGTCGCATGAGCAATGAACCGCTGGCCGCGACGTTGCCACTTCTACAAGTCATTTCAGGTCAGTTAAGTAATATTATCAAGGATGATTTATTTTATGTGATTTTTTACCCTATTTATTTTGTTTGAAAGATGCATTTTTTATTAGTTTTTATTATTGTTTATTTTATTATTTTAACAGACATATATCAACTTGTATTAACTGTTGTGCTATTTAACGTGATAACCTGGGCGCCACCCAGTATATAATAAGGGTGACAAACGTGCACACAATCTACCTGATGGTAAGTGGATACTGTGGCCCATAGACATGTACATTTATCCTCGATTAAGAATCAATATGCAGATTCTTTGTCACCCTTGAGGACTAAGATGGAACGCCTCGTGTCCAGTAAAAAGGTTTTCCGAGTCTCTACACTCACCATAACACAGCAGTATTAAGCTGCTATTCTGGGAGTATCTTAGTATTCAATGAGAGCGTTGTTCTACCACGTAAAAAACTTCGGCTTTGAGCCGTAACAAATTTAAAAAATAACTATTGTTTTGTCGTCTAAACTCTAAGCATTCTTCAAAAAAGCACTTTATTTCATTAATTTATTACAGCCTACCAAAAGGCTGATGAACATAGGCCTTAGATCCTAATATAATGGATGTTTGCCATAGTTGGCACCACGGATGAAGGAACTTAATTCTGACAGGCCTTTGTGAGGCAAGACATAAATACCTACAATCGCGCGGAACCTTAGGTTACTTACGCAGTCAGGGCTAGTACTTCTATGAATATTTTATTTATTTAGTATACCTACATTAAGTTATAGAATAAAATAGTTGTATATTTTTAGTGCAATTTATATTATTATTGAAAATACATTCATTACCATTTTGAAAGCGTGATGACGAAAAAACTGGCACATAATTTACTAAAATTAATAATTAATGAATATTAATTTTATCACTTCATGTCAATGTTTTCCCTCCCAGTATTTACTTAAAATTATAGTTACCTACGTCAAATTTAAAGCTCTTTCCACAAATTTTAATACCATTATTTTAGAGACGGTAAAAATATGACTTTAGAATTAAAGTAAAAGACGTGCCGTATTTTTTACTATTTGTTGAAAACCCCGGGTAACCACGAAGTATCGTCCGTGCCTACGCGCAGCGATAGTTTAGATTGCGTGCTTGATTTATCTAATTAATAATAATTGTGTAGACTATTAAAACGTCGGTAAGTAATCAACATTAAGGTGCAACTTCTGTACGTAGTACTACTATTTATTCTGTGCTTCTGATGTCTGTGGTTGCCACGTTTAGCAGGCAGGTTATCATGAAAATGCTGCTGCTTATCACCTGTTTCAAGTTCTCTCCGTCGCCTTACGACACTCACGGAATGATATTATATGAGGTAATGGATTCTCTATTCTATTCTCTACAGCATTAATTAGCACTTTATTAATTCAATGAAACATCAATAAATATGTTAACACATTTTATTTGCATCTTAGATTTAGAATACAACACATGGAAGTTATAAATATTATAACAACTTGCTCATAAAAATGCTTAGAAAATGCAAAATATTGTAATAACTACTACTACTAATTTATATAATTAGTTGTAAGAAGTTATTAAAATATTAGCCTATATCTTAACAGGTTTACGTTATAAATATACATAAAAACTAATAATTTTATTAAAAGTCGAGAAGTAACATCTTTTGACGTCTTTTCTGAAATAAATAAATAAGGAATCGGTTAGTGCATATCATTTAAGTTTACGAAATAATAATTTACGTATACAAAAACAAAAGGAGTTTTAATAAACAAGGAAATATGCAATCTGTAAAAAGCAACACATGCTAGTGATGCCAGTAACTCAACTCCGCAGAGTCAGTAATTCATTCATGGGGGTGACGACCGTCGGTCGTCATTGTTGGTTCAATCAAACTAGTCGACGCCAACATTTGCGCAAAACTAAATTCATAGATGTAGGGCTTATGTTGCAACAAGCCTTAGTGCAAACAAACAATAGTGTGGTATGTCTATTACCATGACTATGCTCATAAACAAACACCCTACCATTTAATAGAAACAGTCCTCTACTGGACATGGGCCTCTTTGGCTTTTGATTTTGGATTTGCTATAAAATCAAGCTCGTGTCTTGCTAATGGCACGTTTAAATTACCGGCCGAGCAACTCGCCGAATAACTCGCCGAGTTATTCTTGGACGAGTACGACGCGTTTACATAATTGTCTGTATTCATTCAACGTAGATCTTTAAACATGATTGACGTACGTCTCGTTGCACAACATTGTGTTTACTTAACTTTTATAGACTCACTAATATTTTAAATGAAAAAAGATGAAAAGGCATGTAGTAGAAATAGTTGTAGGTATTAAGTAAAACATATAAAAGTAGTTTCGCTCTTGTGAAATTTTTAATTGCAGCTGAACCAAGTACATGCTTATATTTAAAAAAATATATTTTGTCAAAAAAGGTAGTAAAGGTCCACTGAATAATGACGTGTACGTTAACACCGATACGAATACACACGAACGTTCCTTTGACTCGTACTAAAAAACCGACATAGAGTGGAGAAGAGGCGAATATTCGGGCAGAGTAGCGAGCACTCCAGAACAAATTATTTACATATTCGTACTTGTGCCTGCTCGTCTGTGCTCGGCGAGTATCTAAACGTTGCATAAGGTCAAGCTTGACAAGACAAGACAAGGATTGGCGATCGCAGTGGCAGACGTTTCGAACCTTTGACGCTACAATTCGTCGCCGGTCTAGGTATTTTACATTTGGTTATAAAATACACGCTTCACGCACACATATACACCTAAAACTATGGTGTTAGTTGCAAATAATTCTTTGTTTTTAATTGTAATTTAAGTGAAATTAAATGTATTTATTATTGCACATTTTGCTTTAAGAATTTCTCACTAACAGATATTCATTTACAAAAAAAGAAAAATATATAATGGAATAAGTAGTATTCTTAAAGTTTACGAAGATTCAATTAATTTGATATTCATCAATAGCTCTACTATCGTGATAATGAAAATAGTGAAGCTTACCTATTTAAAGTCTGCTCATGCATTCAGTCCTTAACCCTATAGTCCGTATGTACATCTCCTCCATCTAGTTTTACAAGTGACCCCTGATTCTTTAACTGGTATGGAGGTTGACTTGCAACATTATTTGTGGTCAAATGGAATAACATCATACGATGCGTCAACATTTCCCTCACCAATATACAGTACAGTACTGTGGTCGGATGTTACATATTGTTCTCTACGAACTCTACGTCAGGACCGATGTCACGGTTTTGATTTTCCTCAAATGTTGATATGACGGCAGGAGGTGTTTCGGCGACAGAAGTGATGCATCTATTCTGGATGTTATCAGAAGGAGTTATGCCAGGTTCTATGACGGACGAATTGGCGACGGCATTGGAATCATTATCCTGTGTGTTTTTGGGCTTAATTTTTTCAAGCTCTATGACAACAGTAGGTATCGAATCAGTTGCACATGTGGCATCACAACTCTGGTCTTCTTCGGTCTTGACAATAGTCAAAATATTGGTTTTCTTTGGAATAGTCGTAGCATCCCCGCCTGCACGTACGACAACTAATTTGCTATGATCCTGGGTGTTCTCGGATTCGATTTCCACAGGCTCGATGACGGTTAAAGGAAATGATCTGGCAGCGGTTGTGCAATAATGGTTAGTGTTATTGGAAACAGTAACCTTAGGATCGTTGATAGGAAGAGGACTAGATTCGCTGACGGAAACGGTGGTACAACTCTGGGGATTTGCCGACTCGGTTTGCGGTTCGATGACCGTAGGTAGCCCAGATTCAGCGATGAAAGTGGATTCATCATTCTGAATGCTTTCAGACTTGATTTTGTCAAGATCAATGGTAGGAATCGAACCGGCTTCTGTGGTGGTAACACCTTTATGTCTGTTGTCGGGCCTACTAGACAAATTTTGTATTTCGTTCGAAGTGACTGTAGCATTCCAGTCCGGAGGAACGTCGAAGAATTTACCACCCCGACCTCGGAATTTGATGTACACTGCCCCGCACCCACACGTAAAGCGGCGCTTAGCTTCCATCAAAATCGGAACGTGATTTTTTGGAACTAAGAACATCAAGAACCAAGCATTTGGCTGTTCCTCTGCACGAGTTAAAATCCACCGCTCCATGTTTACCCAAGAGTTTTGATAGACCAATGCACGAACAATATCATGTGACTCTTTCCAAACTCCCTGATCGTTAGGGATTAAGATGCCGCAGCGTACGGTTTCGGGTATCTCATCCTGTTGTACGACTACCAGCGAAACGCCAGTAGGTACGTCTAAGCTGGATACTGTATTGTTTAGCCACTGTAAAGTTTTCTGGTCACCGCACCATAATTTAAGGACGCCCTTTATGAAGACTGGCTTGGCTTTAAAAACAGGTCCTGATGAACCAACCTCCTTGACGTTACGCGCCTCGCTGATGATTTTCTTTTGAATATCAGCAAGGACTTTGTCAGCGATTTCCTTTGATAACTGGCCTGTTTGTGAGCAAGTGATTGCGACGCCTAACAAATTTGAGTCGACGGTGTTGGCATTAACCTCAGTCTGTTTTAACTCTTTGATTTGTCTCTTAGCAGCCCGTTCCTTCTTACCAGGTCGTTTTGCGGACCTTAGTTTTCTGGTACTTCTGGAAACCGACCCATAGACTGATGGTTGCTTTGCACCACTAGTCCTAGGTAGCCCCCCAGGATCAACACAAGATGAACTCACTATTAATGGAACTTCACCAGGAAATTTCATCTGCAGTTCAGAAGCAGCCATTTCAGCCAGCAGGCGGCGACCCTTCATACGCTGCTTTTTGTTTTTCTTTTTTGCCTTCGTTTTAGTGAGGGCAGGCAGTGGTTTTTCGATGGGACCGGTAGGTACAAGCAACGACTTTTTAGATTTTTTGCCTTTACCATTAAGGCTTTCCACTTCCCAGGCGCCAACGCCAACGGCATTTGCATTTCGGGTAGGTTGCATAAGAGCCGAAACGAGAGTGCCGGTACTGGTACAGAAAGTTGGGGGACTTGGTTGTGTACTCACTTTGTGACCATTGCCCTTGGTTTCCACCATAGGCTGACCTTTCGCTTTATATACATTTTTATTGGGCACAGAATTCGGCCCTGATGCCATTTTAGCAATTTTCATAGGCGGTTTGTTTTGGGGCTCCTTTTCATTTAGGTGTTTCCGTTTCACAGATTTCGTAAACAGTGTAGATTTGGTCATGGGAGACATAGGATCTCTATTATAAGTATTTAACTGTGGAGTTGGTTTTTTGTAGCTGTCATTATTGCGGTGTGGTGCGGTTTTATATGAGTATCTATCATTTTGGGTCAAAGCAGGATGAGATTTGGAGGAACAAGTCTTTGGAGAGTTGGAACAGTAGTCATAACTATGGTAAAGTTCTTGATGTTCATTAGACAGATGTTCAGTATATTGAGCTGTTTCTTGCACTACAGTTACCTGAAATTGTATAATAAATTATTAAGTAATAAAAAACGACACACTTTTTTTTTTAATATTTTTTTATGTACATACCTGTTTATTATATGGCATGTGTGAATATCTATTGACTTGAGCTGGTGATCCAATTGTATGTTGGCTAATCTCCGCATCAGTACGCACCAGGGCTCTATATCCATTTTCCGGTTGGCACTAAAGAATTTAAAACATTAAATACTGGAGAAAATGTTGACCTAAGAATGAATATTATTCTAATTATTGCTACTACACGTCATAGTCATGCTGAGTATATGTTTTATATGCTCAACATGTTATATTATATTAGCACGAATGGGTTCGGCTCAACCGGAGGAGGACCACGCCCTCACAGAGTACCAGCACAAAATAACAGCTTATAGCTGTTGTTTTGTATAGTATGTATAGAAAACCGGAGACCCTTTTCACTGTCAATGAGGCATTCCATCAGGCATAGGTTGGTCCTTATATGCTTTCTGAGACATGGGGGTGTAACACCAAAAACTTTTCGATTCCAGGCTGCTACTGACAATTTCTTGACAGGAAAACAGAATAGACTAACTTTGTAATCACCAATTGCATTTATGACCTAGGCCAACAAGGCAGACAAACTAAACTAAATTACTCCACTATTAAAAGTTTTTTCTGAATTATTGTTTTTTTTATTATTGAAATTTCAATCGATTTCTGGCATTTCAGAAAATTTTCACCAGTATTATTAAATTATATTGTGGAGTGGAATGTTAAGGAAAACAGAATTGAAGTGATTGCTATGCACAAAGTAGATTTGGAAATAGCTTCATCTTTCTAAGATACTTCAAAAGTTAACCATCACCCCAATGTTTGTGTATCGCACTATTGACAGGTAAACCAACAACTCTTTGGTCAAAGACCAGGGAACAGAAAAGGACTAGATAATAATAATAAAGCTTTATTTATTTCACATAAAAATATTACAGTAAATGTTTCATTGAATCCATAGGCTCCGGAAGTAGTGTAAAACTGTGTTTCGGGAGCCAGTGGCTTCTCCCATAACATTGCATTTTTAATTTATGTCTTAACATAACATTATAACCTATTAAACAACGACTCAAGACATGAAAACAAAGTTAAAAAAGAAAGGGGCGCATTTCTGTGTGTGCGTTAGTGTGTGTGTGTGTGTGTGTGTGTGTGTGTGTGTGTGTGTGTTTGCGTCAGTAGTAAAAACCAGTTAACATTTTTTCTACATCTTCATAATAAGTTGTTTAAGCCATAATAATATATGCTTCTTAATAACGTTATTATTGCAGTCTTTTATATTATATTTCTTATTAAGTCTGTTATATAGGTGTGGAACAATAATATCAAACTGCTTCTGGGCGAATCTTGTTTTTACTTTGGGAATAGGACAACGGTCAAGCCTTGCAGATGATTTAGGCAGCAAAGGAACAATATTTTTGATATAATTTCGTAGACTTTCATAAACAAATAATTTTCTAACACTAAGAATGTTGGCTTTACAATAGACATCTGTTGTAGGGTGCCTGTAGGGTAAGGAGAATAACACTTTCAGTACTGCACGTTGTGCACGTTCTACAGTGATCAAATATGATTTTGCTGCGGTACCCCATGCACAGATACAGCATCTAATAATGCATTCACCAAGGACTTTATGTTTGTAATGCTAATTTATAGTCAACAACTGTTCTTAGAGTTTTAAAAACATAGAAAGTTTTCTCAATCTTGTAGACAAAGACATTATATGTATTTTCCAATTTATTTTATCATCAATTTCGACCCCAAGGTACTTTATAGAATGTACCCACAACAACACAAAAAGAAACAGTCACACTCATCAGGTCGTCTGCATGGATATGTGTGAATTTTAATTCTAATGTCGGTGTCAGGTCCTCCTGATGTTGTCTTACTATAGCACATGAACTTTGTTTTGTTGGTATTGAGGGATAACAAGTTATTTGCTGGCCATTGCGTCACTATAGAGAGACAATCCTCTGCAAGGTCCAACACTTGTTGCCAATTTTTATTATGGACGAGTAAAACAGTATTGTCTGCAAACATGAGCAAGTCAAGTTTAGGAAAATTAATTTTGCACAGATCATTTATATATAAAAGGAAGAGAGGAGGCCCCAGTACACTGCCCTGTGGAACACCGTAGGTACATCCTGCACTATCACTCTCATGTCCTTCAACCCGTACACGTTGTAATCTTCCGACTAGATAATCTGCGAACCAGTCACGAGCTATACCCCTGATCCCCACATTCTCCCATTTAGTCAATAAGATAGGGATCGAAACGGTATCGAAAGCCTTCTGGAGATCCAGAAATACACCCATGCACTTGTTCCCACCATCAAGGTATGTAAAGATTTTTCTAGTTAGCGTTAGGACTGCGTCCTCGGTTGACTTACTTTCTCTAAATTCGAATTAATTATCACTCAGTAGATTGTTAAGCTCATGATATCGCATCAGCCTCTTTTTAACTAACTTTTCTAACACCTTAGACAATGTCGAAAGGGTAGAGATAGGTCTATAATTTGTAGGATTATGGGAATCACCTGCTTTATAAATAGGAGACACTATAGCTTTTTTTGAAAGCTGTGGGAAAAATGCCTGTTTCAAGACTCAAATTACATATATGTGTGATAGGATCAGCGAGGAATATTATAAATTTCCTAAGTACTTTAGCTGTGATATTTTCACAACCAGGAGCACTATGTAACTTGAGTCCGAGGACCACATTCCTGACCTCAACCGGATCAGTTGGTGTAAGGAACAACTGGTGGGTTAGCAGTATTTCCCAGTACTGCAAGTTCACGATCAGAAGTATTCATCTTCTTTAGGGTATTTTTTGCAAGTATTTCACGGACATAAGTGAAATATGAATTTACTTCATTCAGCGACTGTTTAGTATTTTGGCTTATATTTATTAAATTGTTAGGTCTCTTTGCGACATTTAAATTGCACACTTCTTTTATTATCTTCCATGTTTCTTTTGTATTTCCCTGATTTTTTATTAATTTACATTTATAATATTTTTCTTTTAGATTTTTAATGATTTTGTCACACATATTCCTATATTTTATGTATTTAATCTTTAGTTCTTCATTATCTGGTGAGTTTTTAGTTTTCATTTGTAATTTATCTCTTTTTCTGATAGAGCTTACCACTCCTCTTGTTACCCATGGTTTGAGAGGTTGGTGCCTTTTAGTAATCATTTGATTTGTGAGTGCTGTTTAACCAATGAAAAAAGTTTATCCGTGAAAAGCTCAGTGGCTGTATTTACATTTCTAGTGTCTAGCAAATCATACCAGGGCTCTCCCAACAGTAACTTCTTTGATCCTTTCATAATTAACGGTTATTTTTTTATATTTTAATATGTCTTTACTAACTCCAGCATTGTTTATATAAAGCATTATGGGTGAATGATCAGTTATTTGCTGTTCAAAAACTATAGTTTTCCAAGTGCTACAACTTTTGACCATGAAATGATCTATGCAAGTGTTGACTCTAGTTGGACGGTCAATGCCTTGTCTTAAACCATGCATAGGTATAGTATTTAAATTATCTTGTGAGGATGCTGATAAGTTACATGATAGAATATCTAAATTAATATCACCAGTAAATATTTTTAGTTGAAATACTAGCTAAAACCGTGTCAATACATTCTAAATATTTACTAGCATTACGAAAACTAGGCGAATGGTATGAGCATATGATGGTATAATCTGGCGAGATTTTTATTATAAGGCATTTTCCATCGTTAAAGGTTGGCTCATAGCTGGATGCTTTAATTTCTTCTCGGACATATACAACCACCCCATCATTCTGGTTTAGATATTTTTGCATCCAGAAAGTGTTATAATTATTGAGATTCGGTGGTGGATTACTTGCACTAGTCCAACATTCTGTCAATACAAATACATCTATGGAGATGTCTAGACTAGATATAAATGCTATAGATAGGTCAAAGTTACAATTAATGCTTCGTATATTCAATGTAAGAATTGAAAGTGTGTGTTATCCGAATTTAAAAGTTTAAGGCGGTTTAGGTCACTTAGTGTAAGACATTCTATCCTATTTGAGATATCTACTTCGGTTGTGATAAAAGAGTTATCATCATTTGGAAATTGAAATGGTAATCGGTTGTATTGTATTAGATATATATCCGGGCTTAAAAACCAAAAAAAAATTACATTACTGGAGTATCTAATATTTGTTAATCTTAACAGTAAAAGTAAAGAGCAAGTGTGCATTTTATGTACTAGATAAGTGTAAGTAATTTATGATGTAAATTTATGTAAATTAATGTGATGTGTTGAGTTGTCAGCAATAGTATATGAATAAGTATCAGTGATATACGCTTATGAATTAATGTCAAAATAACTAAAATTAAACAAAAAAAGCTAATAAAATATAGAAAACAATCAAACATGCATATTTTATGAAAATTAATAATATAAGTTTGTATATAGTCATTTGTAATTAATGTTTTCTAGGTCGCTCTTGCTATTAACCTTTACAAGTGGAGCTCCATCCACCCTCCGAAAATATATTCTGCCCCTTGATGTCCAGCAATATTTAAAGGCATTAATCTTAGCGAATTCTCTGGCCAAAAAGAAGAGTCTCTTTGTTTTAATTGTCAAACTCTCAGACACAAAAATTGGTTTGGGTGGGCCATCTAGTTTAAAGTTAGAGGTATTCAACTTGCAGGTCATATATTTTTTGTTGTATACCTTGACAGACTCAACTATTTTGTTTTTTAAGAAAACAGTTGAAAATTCTGCTATTATAGGCTGGTTTTTCCTTTCTTAGTATTTAAGCGGTAGATGTCACGGACCTCTTCTGATTGAATTGGGTCAGATAGGTTGTGAATGCTGTCAAAACCAGAATTCCACCAAAATCAGATTATGACTATCAGTAAAAATAGTTACCCATTGATCCATCTATTCATTAAAGCACACTGCTGAACATAGGCCTTAACATAGGCCTACCATTAGATTGTCTCATAAGGAGGATATGTGCCATAGTTGAGACGCTTGCGAGACTTTATTTGACTTTACTTGCGAGATTGTTATTAAGAAGATGCTGCTGCCATCTTCTGGTCTATTTGCCTCTTACGATATCTAAACAACAATATAGGAGAGTGGATATTCTTACACAGCCATTCACAGTCAAAATAGTTATAGTAAAATATGATCCATACCTGAAGCAGATGATGAGCTGATGGCACATAGCTTACGTCACTCTGAAGGTTTTTGTTAAGTGGCTCTGGATTATCATATTTATCAGACCAAGATATTTGATTATTTCGAACAGGCTCTGTAAAACTGTTGTTATAATCTAATTTATGCTGATTATTTGTCTGCTTAAAGCTGTTATCATTATTTTCTTGGCTATTTTCATACTGCAACATTAATAGGTTTTTGTTATTACTAATAATACCCAGACCTAGAATGATTATTTGTAGGTGGAACTTGCATCGTCATAGCTAAACAAAAACCTGAGATAACTATATTCTGCTAACAAGGCATTCCATCTGGATCCTCAGGGGTGACAATGCATCTGTATTAATATTCTTAATCTAGGATACCACTACCCATCAGGTGGTAAATATAACTACACCCCACCATCTAGAATCTATTAGGCCTTTAGATAAAATTTTTATTATTATTATTATTTGGTCTATTTGGCCCTTGGTATTGTGATTATGTCACAATAATTCTGCCAATGTCCGGTCCTTGGTCTGTCGCACCTTGTCTTTAGGCTTTTCGGTGGAAAAGGAGTTAGCGGTTATTAGGTGAAAATATGGATAAAAACAAAGCATCTAAATACATAAATTATGGACCACACAATATAGAGCAAACATCTAGTTATAGGAGAGAATTAGCCTGGGCAGGGAATAGAGAATTAGTTTAAGCTAAATTTAGTACACGATAATTAGAGTTTAATATTATACATTTGAATATATTTTGAGATCATATTGACATATATGGAATTGGGGATAGTTAAGAGGGAATTGATATTCATTGGTCGAGGCATTGTGTTGGGAAGAATGTCATATAAAGAAATTGGGTGATTTTGGCAATTAAAGAAAATGTGGTCTGGGGTACCTTCATCCAGTCCACATTCACAGAGGGAATGATCTTTGATTCTAATTTTAGCTAGAAATACAGGAGTGCAGGCATGCCCAAGCCTTAAACGGCAGATTGTAGATGTGATTTGTTTGTTCAAAAAGCTAAATTTAAAGAACCAAGGTTTTGGAGGGATTTGGGGTTGAATTTTACCAAAGTGACAACCTTTAATATGTCTGGATGTGCTCCATTCTCTGTTCCAAGAGTTCTTTAATTCAATTTGAGCTAATGACATTAGATCATGAGAGTAAATCATTAAATGAGAAGGACAGCCAGTATCAACAGCTCCTTTGGCCCAAGAGTCAGCCTGTTGATTTCCTTCTATACCACAATGACTAGGAATCCACACAATCTCCACATCAAGCCCACTCTTATTACAATTTAGTATGAGTTCCTTAATTTTCAGTATTAATGGGGAGATGGAATTCATTTTAAATATATTGCTCTGTAATGACATTAGGCAGCTTTTTGAATCAGTAAATATAACTGACTTAGGAATTTTATGGGAAAGAATATAGGAAATAGCCTCATATATGGCTACAGCTTCCCCAGTAAAAACAGAAGCTTGAGGAGGACATCTATAATTAAGGACAATTTTGTATTTGGGGATCCAGACTGCGGAACCGACACATTTGAATGGAGACAATTTGGAAGCATCAGTAAAAATATATAGCCAATCAGACCATTTTTTTGCCACAAGGTTGTAGAAAGTTCTGTTTGCAGTGGGGGAATTTTTATTAATGTTTAAATTCAGAGTGATTTTAGGGTTTATTAATATAGCTTCATAGCTGGTTTCAAAATAGGGTAGAATTAGGGATGTTACACAAGGATAACCAATATTTTTTAATCTATTTAGAGATTTAAGAATAGGGGGCCAGCTTTTATTAAACCAGTAGGAGTTGTTTACAGCTAATAGTAGCAAGGATTCTAGTTTACGATGTAAGGGGTGAGATGATAGTTGTAGAGTTTTTGAGAGAAATCTATCAGCTAGAAACTGTCTTCGTAAAGAGAGAGGGGGATCAGCACATTCTACTTGTAAAGCATTTTTAGGAGTTGATTTCATTGCGCCTGTGATAATACGTAAACATCTTGCTTGGATAACATCAAGTCTATTAAGGGCCGATTTGTTGCAGGGCTCCAAAAGAAAAGAGCCATAGTCGAAGTGACTGCGGATGATGGCATTGTATAGGATTTTTTGACACATGGGGTGAGATCCCCACCATACGCCTGAAAGGGATCTAAGAATATTAACACCTTTCTCACATTTGTCACAGATGTAATTAAAGTGAGCAGTACCAGTCATATGACAATCTAAGAAAATACCTAAAAATTTTACTTTGTTAACAACTGGAATAGATTCACCATTATATGAGATATCAATAGTAGGGAAAACACGTTTTCTACTAAAGGTTATTGTTTTGCTTTTAGAAGCTGAAAGAGAGAGGCCATGGTCAGTAAGCCATTGATTAAGATAATATAAGCCTCTGTTAAGATGATGGGAGGCAGTTAGGATATCAGGAGCTGTTACATAGATAGCAAGATCATCTGCATATTGTAATATGTCACAGAAAGATGAAATCGAATGTTCAAGGTCATATGTGTAGATATTGTAAAGAATAGGGCTTAAGACCGAGCCCTGTGGTAGACCCTTCCAGATTGTTCTGGGCGAGGTTAACATTCCTTTATTGCGAATTTTGATAGATCGTCCCATGAACAGATTGTAAATGAAGTGTACAGTCTTCGCAGGGATGTTCAGATGAAGCATTTTCTGCCTGAGCACTGGAAGAAGAACACTGTCATAGGCAGATGATATGTCCAGGAAACAACCCACCAAGTATTCATTTTTAGAAAAGGCCAACCTAATATCTGTAGTTAGGATGCTCAAACTATCTAAAGTGCTTTTACCTTTACGAAAACCAAATTGACTTTTTGCAAGGATGTTATTATGTTCCAGAAACCATTCAAGTCTGTTTTTAATTAAATGTTCTAAAATTTTGCAAAAAGTAGATGAGAGTGCGATTGGGCGGTAGGAAGAAGCTTCTTTGGGATCTTTTCCGGGTTTAAGGATAGGTATAACAATTTGGTTTGACCAAGACAGAGGAATATTAGATGATATGTAGATATTGTTCAGAATTTGGAGAAGAATTAATTTACCTTTAAGGCTTAATTTACATAAACACGCATAGGGTATGCCATCTTCTCCTGGAGAAGAGGATTTTAAGCCAGATAGCACAGACTGTAATTCGGACAATGAGAAGATTATCTCATTATTGTTGATGTAAGACGGGACTGGAATGGGTGGGCATATTGTATATTCATTAGGGACAAAAGGAGGAGCTAACATATCAGAGAAGACTTCTAACCATGGTAAAGAGTTATCAGAAATGTTGGAATCAGAAAGAAGGGAGCCACGAAATTTTTTTATATTTTTCCAAACTATTGTTACTGGTGAATTAGGGGACAAGGATTCACAGAATTTTTTCCATCCATTTTTTTTCTTTTTGGAAAGTAGTCTCCTTGTTTGAGCGGAGGTTTTTTGAAATTGTATAAAATTATCGGTTGTCATACAGTGATTATAAAGCTTTTCTGCAGCTTTTCTCCTTTTAATCATAGTGGTGCACTCAGCATCCCACCATGGAGGGGAGGATAGGTTCTTGCTGTGGGGTTTTTTGGATGGGATAAATAAGTCAGCTGCTTCAGTTATATATTGTACCAATAGAGAGTACGAAGTTATTGGGTTGGTTGAGAAGTCAACCTGCATTTGCGCAAATTTAGTATCTAAAAATTTAGTGAAATTAGTCCAATCTGCGTCTTGGAGCTTATATTTAAGGAGGGGCATAGTAAAGGGTAAAGGAATAACCGCATTGGGTTTGGTAATAAGAATGGGAAAGTGATCACTTCCATATGATTGATTGAGGGTTTTCCAAGAAAGCTGAGGGGCTAGACTAGGAGAACAAGCTGTTAGGTCGACAGCAGACCTAGGGTCTAGTCCTGGGTATACTCTATGAGTGGGGGAACCATTGTTGATAATGCAAGCATTAATGTCTTCAAAAATTTGTATAAGTTCTGAAGAGTATATGTCACAAAAATGTGACCCCCAAGATACATGATGTGAATTAAAATCACCGGTAATAATAAAAGGGGGAGGTAACAAAGAGAAGAGAGAGGATAGTTCTTGAATTAAGTGGGTATTTGGATGAGGGATATATATTGAAATAATGTTGATTCCTGCAATTTTTGCAGCTACGGCATTAATGTGTTGGCTATGAGGAGGGAGTGCAATTTGAGAGAAGGGTAGGGATTTTTTTATGAGTAAGCAACAACCACCGTAACCATCATTTCTATCTTCACGGAGGCAAGTAAAGCCTTGCAAGCGAAATTTGGAGTTAGGTAGGAACCATGTTTCTGAAATTGAAGCAACAGAAATTGAATGTTTATTTATTAGGAAGATGAGTTCAGATTTTTTAGGTTGCAAGCTTCTACAGTTCCATTGAAGGAGATGGAGGTCTTTTGTTTGAGTCATTTATATTATCTATTAAACTAGCTAAATTAAAGATTTTTTCTGCAACGTTGTTCGGTAGTGAATCTGACATTTTCAAAATTAAATTATTGAGGAGGGAAATTAGGCATTCAACAAGATTTTCATTTGGAGATATTTGGTTGTGCGTGTTGGATAAAGCGCATCCATTTGGAGTAGAGGATGGGCAGTCTGCAACTATTCTTTGATGAGCTTGTTGGTCATACCCCATGGGAATTCTAGGTATGGGGCGGGGAGGTTTGAAGATGGTTTTTCTATATGCCTGTGACATGGTGGGGAGGTTGAAGGAAGTAGTAGGAGTAGGTGAAAGCTGAGTAGAGGCCACTTCGGAATACGGTTTTTGAGGATTGTTCAATCGGATAGATGGGATTTTGGCTGAAGCTTCTATATAGGATATATTTTGTTCTGACATCATAACTTTGATAGAAATCTGCCTTTGGTGTTCCGGACAGTTTTTGTTATTAGCAAAATGATTTTTGGAGCATAACAGACAAGTGGCTTCACTTTCAGGAACAGAACAACTTGCTCCAGTATGCTCTTGGGCACAACGGAAGCAGCGTGGTTTAGAACGGCATTGATCTGCTATGTGGCCAAATCGACAACAGTGTTTGCACTGGATGGAGGGGAGTTGATAAGTTTCAACAGCAAGGGATGTGTAAAATGCATATATATATTTGGGGAGTAACTGGCCTTCAAATGTCAGAACAATAGATTGAGTGGGAACCCATATTGGGGATGTTGACCCTTCAGCAAAAGTCTTTCTCTGAAGACGGCGAGCTTTTAGGATTTTACCACAACCAGGAGGAAGCTCAACAGCTTCTGCTAGTTCTTCCATTGGCCAATCCACAGGGATACCGCGGATGACACCCATTCGAGAAACATTATAGGATGGAATAGTTGCAATCAATTTTTCTTTTGCAAGCATTGGATTATTAAGAAATTTGTTAGCCTCATCGGCTGAGCAGAATTCAATAGAGATGCGATTTCTGCCAACGCTTTTGACTCCCCCTCTTTTGATGTTTTCTATTTTATTTTTAGACAAGCATAAACCTATTTTAATTGGACGAAGTGATAGCCCTATTCTAGGATCTGACGTAGCCCGGGAGATGTGGACAATAAAAGGGCCTTGGTCGTTTGGACCATACATTCTAAGATTTTGTTCTAGGCAGGGATGTTTATATATTGTGTTTATTGACGCTGTTAAATCAATTACAGAATTCTTTTTATATATTACTGGATCAAATGATCGAGTCTCAGCGTGTCTTTTTTTACCACGGCCACAATCATTATTGTCACTTACTCCAAAGCACATGTCTTCATCGGGAGGGTCAGGGGGTTTCTCACGAGGAGGCCCCGTTTCGTCACCCATAATTGGGTTTAATGTTCGAAATAACTATAACTTATAAACGTAGACTTACAGCAGAGGAATCCACCACCACAAAATAAGGAAATTAAGGAGAATTAACCAAATACCGAAAAGCACTCACAAGTACGTGTTAACCATTCGACCGTTGGCCATAGACCCAGATAAAATTTTAAATCAAAACAAAAAGGTACAGACACATACACCTGAAACAGCCTCTGTTTAGGGTAGTTGGGATCAAAATGTAATTATTTTTTTAAGTAGGCAACAAAAAGGGGACTTACGTTAGCTTTTCCAACAGGAACAATTCGAAGAACGTAACCAGCAAGTCTATACCCCTCCAGATATTTCATGGCGAGGTGGCCTTCGTCATCGTCAATGAAACATACCTTCACTTGTTTCGTGCCATCTTCATCGTATTTCAAACTACTAAGCAAAAATTCCATAATATTGCATTCTTTTCTAATTATGTTTTTTATGTCGAAATACTTCATCTGAAAGTAAAATACCAAATTACCTAACATAAATTTAATTAATAATACAAATGGGAGCATTTATTTATTGCCTTACATAAGGTGGTAATCCATATATTGTTAACATCATTTTGAGTTGTTTGTTAAAATTTTGTGCGGGAAATGTGTCATTAGAATTTCGTCCAGCGATATTATATTTTGATTTGATCTTTCTTATCACCAGTGCTGCCAACTCTTAAAAATATTTAATGCTAAATCCATGTTTGTAAAATGCCTTAATATGCTAAAATTTGCGGATTAAGCTAAAGAAAAATGCTAACACGATTTTACAAGTTTTTTTTTTTACAAAATGGTACAATATTCATAGACAAAAATCAGTCAGTCCGTGATACAAACAAATTATTCAGATCCTCGTCGGTATCTTCTTGGTCAAGTGCCATCGGTGGGCTTAGAGCAGAAGACGAGGACGGATATACCTCATTTGACGCTACCTTTCGTAATATTGGATCAGATATTCAAATCTTACGTATAAAATTGCGCTTAAAGTTGTTAAAGACAAACTGTTTCTCAGTTTTGTTTTTACCAAGTTAACTTGGCTGAAAACACGTTTGAATATGGCAACGTCAACAACATTGTTGCATATTCAGCCAGTTCCCAGAAAGGAATCTTTCCTACAGCGTCCTTGAAGTTCAAGACTTCACACCAAAATTCAGTGGTGGATGAAGTACACTGCCACTGCATACGATCAATGTTTCGCCATTGTGATACAAGCTTATCGATTTTTGTTGCATCCGTAGTAAACTTTGCGCTATTTCTCTATAATATTCATGGAATGATATATATTATTCAATGACAAATTTCTACTTGTACCCTACATGTATCCATCTAGCGCCAAGTAGCGCCGGTGCTATGTTACTTGACGCTAGATGGCAGGATATATCTCGATATGGATGAAACATGACGTGAGACTACGGTTTTTCTTTTAGACCAGGAAAATGCTTAAAAAATATGCTATATGCTAAATTAGAATTTTTAATGCTAAATCAGTCGAAAATATGCCAAATTTAGCCATAAAAATGCTAAATTGGCAACACTGCTTATCACAAATAAAACTATCTCTGTATTTATCTATGAGTATGATCAAATCACAAACTATATAGAACTTTCCGCCTGGCTGGTATATGTGGTATATAGTGTATTATCTATGCTCTCAGCTAGGAGTAAAGTATTCTGTGACAAGTATTCTGTGTATTCTTGTATATACAACTTTATAACAATATATAATGTACTCTGTGCTTTATAATTTGTGTTCTGTGATATAGAAACACTACGCCACGTAGTACCTTTGTATAAGGAGTTTTGGCGGGAAATTGACCGGCGGCAGTTTGCTGCTCCTGTATTATTGTTTAAATAATGGTTTGAAGTGGACTTTGATATGTAAAATTGTTGCGATTTTGTGTATTAAGTGTCTACGCATGTGAACTATTAGTGGAAACAGTGAAACAAGTGCTCTGATGGTGATGGATTCTCAATATAAGCTGTTTGTTTGCATAGGCACCTTTAGATACCATCGCCAACTATCAGCTGTCTGCTGGATCAAGTTGCCGCCAAAATCTCCCAAGAACTGCACAATGTTACGCATCAACATATTGCGAAGCAGTATACTATGAAGGAGTGGGGAAATTACAATAAACCGAATAAAAATACTTAAGACTTGGCCTAAAGGTCTAGATACCAGGCCATAAACTCCAAAAAAAAATACCTTTGTATAAACCGAAACATTACGCGTTGATTAAATCTTGTTTTCACAAATCACATAATACTTTTACCATAGATAAATAAATATGTAGCCTGGTATACAGTAATCTGTGATATGTAGCAAGAAATACATATGTAGCAAGCTCATAGCAAGCTATAGAATAGACGTTTGTACGAAGTACATGTATTTCCATGGAATAGACTCTGTGTACAGATATCACAAACTATATAGATACGACAGCAAGTTTTCAGACTACGCGTTTTGGCGCTGCAGTTGCCCATTTTGACAGATAAGTAATGACTATACTTTATAGTATAGGCACAAACCACAAACTATTATGAAGTGCTAGCGCAAGTATAGTCCCACCAATTTATCTGTGAACTGACAGCTGCGGCAAAATTGTGAACTACAGCCGCCATTTAATCAAATGTCACTCGATACGTCATTGTTTTGAGAGTTTATAGAAAAATAAAAAATGCCGAGAACCATTAAAAGTGATGCCCGAATCATTATTTTATAAGTATTAAACTTTTGTGAGCAAGAAGCTCGAGGGTAAGCACCGATAATGTCTTTCAATCAGGTCTATAAAAGAGTATCAGCTGCTATATTTTGTTCCTTCCTTTCGTATTTCCGATAAATAGATTGGTTAATGCAATTCATTTCTTTTTCAGATGTTAGTCAAGGATTCATTTCCAAAATAGTTATAAAACCGGAAACCGCATAAATCACAGGAACGCAAATTACAACGCCCGGTAAAAAAGGCATAAAGGCATATCATTTAATTAAAGTTTAAATTGTTCAATTATGATATTTTTGTTTCTTCTTGTTCTTGGACATATATCTGTTAAATCTGTGTTCTAGTCTTTTTATTCCGTGACTAATTTATTACCCTAGTAGGTGACTCTATGTAGGAATATAAGACCCTTAGATGGGAATATTCCCGAACTGGCAACACTTCAGCGCAGAAGCGCCAAACTGTCAGTTCACAGATAAGTTGGTGGCACTATATAGCTATGTATAAATTAGTGATTGCAAGCACAAATCCTTCAAATCATCGATATCGATATTTAGTGATGTTCTTATTTTATTGATGTCGACCATTATATATGGAGTAATATTATAATATTACTTAATGAAACAATTATAGTACAGAAACATTTATTTTTTATTTAAGCACACCAATATCATATACATACACACGTAATTTTAGGATTAAACTAAAGGTACATTAGGTTTTATTAGAAATGTACATAACATTGTATATACGTACAATTTGACGTAAACGGAGCAATACTTATTGTTCATTAAACCACAGGAATCATATTTAATCATAAATCCCAATATTTTACTATACAAGTTACTTTTGATGTTAATTTTAAAACAGCTATAATTCAAATAGTTATGAATTAAATATGTGCCTTCCATGTATAAATAAGGAACTAGGGTGAGCTAAATTATTATTTGGTCTCTATAACATTTGTTTGTTAGGCAAGACAAACATTTTTTTTTAAATTTGTAGTTCTTGGTGCTTTGTTCCATTAGTAGGAATCCTATTAATTTTTCGGCTAGGGTAAACCTGGTCATTTTGTTTTTAAAATTGTTTTAATTACATTAACAATATAGTTAACATATTGTGTTACTGGGGTTCTGGTGTATCATAAAAGCATGTGTAGAGAGGGAAATGATTAGATTGTTCACATTACTGATTGAAATAGATTTATTTTATCGAACCCGAGACACGTGTTCGCCTAGTACCCTCTAAAGGAATTGTAAGAGAGTAGCTCTTACAGGCTGCCGTCCCGCCGGTGGCGGTCGTTATTGTATTTCGCAAGAATTACACATACATTGACATGGGTGACACATGTGTGTGCTGTGTCAGCAGCACCCACATTACTCCCCCTTTTTAACAAAAAAATGAAATATATGAATTTAATACATCATTTAGCAAAAAGTTTAAAGTTTCGTCTAAATCGGTTCAGCCTTACTTCTAACTTAAACTAAACAGAGTGTGCGCAGAGCATATTAAGTTGCGAACAAACAATGCCATAACGCGTGGCTTGCCTGCTACTCGATCGCTCGATCTACCTACTTCCTATGATAATAATACGGTGATAAACTGATCTAATATATTACATTGTTGTTTTGCACTATACTCTAAAATACAAATTGACTCTCTTATGGGTCGGATTAATTTAATTAGTGCTACTATGTTAGCTAATTCCTTACATTACATTTTAGGTCCACTGTGAAACCCTTTTATCACAAAAGATTTAAGTCTATTAACATGTAATACATAGTTTAATTTTGTAAATATGTACTCAAGAATGCTAAACAGATTATATCGTTTTAAATTTTATTTTAATACTACTATTTAATAATACACTGATGGTGATTTGGCGTTTGGACTAGCTGCTGTTTGAGCTAGCTGCGTCCCGCGTCGTTGCTCGATTCTCGAAATAACTTGTTCGATCACTCTACCTTTTATTTTCTTTCCGGCAAAAAATGTAAAGACATGTTGCACATATCACAGTTATCACAAGCATCGTGACGACACTGTAATATTCTAGCTTTCTTTGTAATTCAGCTTGCGCTTAGTTATTAGCTCCGTTCTGAGCTATTATTACTTCTGCGTTCTTTGACTGTTGCTTGCCCATGTTTATAAAAATAGTCATAAAATAATTTGGAAAGTTATTTTACGTAAAAGAAGTGTCTATCTAATTATTCTACTTTATAAGTTACTTAACTTTTAGCCAAATTTGAGTTACATTTAATCAAATTTGCTTAAGACCTAGTTTACAAAAAAACGCACAGGTGGCTTTACTACTCTGCCACTGCGTGTGGTACAAGGAACAAACTTATTATCTACTTTGCTTTTTGTGTTCGCATTCTGACATTCCTTATTATTTGTACTTAAATCATTAGTTTCTGACTCGACTATATATGCTGGTTTCAATCTTTCAATTTTTTTTAAATTTATTTACCATATTACAAAGCTTTACAAAAAAAAACTATACTAAACAGTCGCATACAGAAAAGCACTAAGGTTTGTGATGACGCGACCAGAGTCGACGTTACATTAAGTATAATTAATATAGTAAAAAGGAAGCATTACAGTCTAATTAGGACCTGAGCAAACGCATATACGCTGTTTTAAGTAGTATTTTTTTTATAAATTACACAAAAAGTACATTTTAAGTTTTTTTTAAATATTTTTTATATTTAAGTTATCGCGGAAATCTGGAGGTAGGTTGTTTATAAGTCGTGGAACAATGTAACTTGCTGTTTGTTCCCCGTACATATTGTTTGCATGACACGTCTGCAGCTTGCGGCTGCTTACGGCGCGCGTACACATGGGGTGCTTAATTTCTAATTTTAACTTTTCATTAAAAAAGTGTTTTTTTAAAAGTAAATATTTGACTTGTGTATGAACTGGT